AAATTTTATTATCAACCTGTTTGTTTCCAGCACCAGTTAAGCATAGTTATAAAATTTGTTTTTAATCAAAATGCTCAGATTTTTTCATATATAATTCAAATATGTAGGTCAAATTTTCAAATTCAAATATAAAATTTTTTGTGAAATAGATGGAAAATCCTAATATTTACAATTAAAATGAAAATTAAAAATAAGTTTATGTATAATATTGGTAATAAGGATTATATTTAACATGTTTGTTTCCATACAATAATGAAGTAGAAAGTTTAAATATCAATGTCTGTTATATCCTATTGTCATACTTATATATTAAATTTTAGGTTTCTTGCATTATATGAAATATAGTCAAAGCACTCCATTCAGTTAAGTTTCACAGCATTCTGACATCATTTATGCATGTTTAAAATTCCATATGAAACATTCCATTTCAGCATATTGTGTGTAATATGATCGGCCATCAATAAAACTTCACTCTTGTACCACATTTTTGTATGAGGAACCCATAGAGGGAAACTGAAGTCTATCATATGATATGCTAAGAGTGAAGATGATAAACTCTATTTTAATAGGCTCATTATAAAGTATGATTGACAAGTAGAGGAACAGACTTCTAGGAGGGGTAGTGTATATATGAATGACTCAGAATCGCATAACATACAGGGTTTGAAATGCAGTCCTAACGAGATTGGGAAAATATTAGGAACTGTTGCAGGAAAAACATAGACAACTATTCACAAAGGTGTTAAGAGGGAAAATATGAATACATCATGATCACAAATTGGCATTTAAAGTGCATTTTTGTGGCTACCACAAATCTCTGATGGATGCCCAGCATATTTCAAAATGTCAGAGATTCACTGAGGTGCCCACATTACAAAACTTTAGGGAATGTCTTTATCAGGAAAGACATGACTTAATTTCAACTTATGGTCTTTAAATGTCAATTTGCAATTAACTCGTTAGGATTGCATTTCCAACACTACATTGCTCAACAAAATTAATTTTTTCAGTGTGAATATTTTAATTACAGTTTTCTTGGACCATTTTTAGATTTTTTATTCTTTTTCATGCATCACTATGTACTTATGCATTAATTAATATAGTTAATTGGGAGTGCAGTGCAATTAAAATATGATACAGCAGTCTCTACTTCACTGTTAAGCTAGGGGCAATAACATTCAAAGATATCTGTAGAGGACCAAAGGTGAAAAACAAGTATTATAATGAAAGATCTGTGTCATTGAGACCAAGATATCTCATTTAAAGATATTCAACTTCACCAAACACTGTTTTGTGACTAAACTGACAGTTTAAGGGCACAAAATGTTGTAAATAGATCGATCCCCTTGCAAATGCTATTGAAACATATCACCATAATTACTTCTTGCAGAAAGTCTAGAACCAGATGAACTTCTACTAAGTCTTTCTGCTGCTAAAAAGGAATGGTAAATTTTTCTGTTTCAGAAGTAATTGATGGCTGTAATGGTATCAGTACACATCTCATTGTTGTTTGTGGAAATGTATCCCAGTGTGCAGTTATATTTCTCATTCTATACTTAATGAAGCAAATGCGATACTAATAACAGAAAACACGGTATTTTATGGCTTGGCTAATAAACTTTTATATAGGCTTATCTAAGTTGCATTATGCTACAGTCTTATGCTTTTCACCTTAAATGGGTCCATTTGGAAGATGGAAACACAGACTAATGGATTTTAGGTCGGATTCATGAAACCCTTTGTGCAACAGTTAATTTATTATTCGAGTCTTTGAACCAACTGCTGTGGCTGTGTGAAGGCCTGAAACTGACTTTCTTAAAGGTGACTGAAAATGCTTAACTTCAAGCTGACAGCTTCAGCTTCACAGTTCGTAGTCACTGTCAGCTCTAAGTTTTTAAGTCACTGTCAGACAGTGTCTGAAAACAGTCTTTAGATACAATTGTTGCTGTTGGTTGCTTGTTGAGTGATTCACTACTTAAAAAGTAATCCTAAGTTATATGACAGTTTGAGGGCGATTCAGATCTTGACCTCCATTTGTGTTTGCCTTTCCTTGGGTATACCAAGTAATTGCCATTTTTGCCATTCATGTAAGTGATAGTTTATTTAAATGAGCTTTAAATGAGACTTAACTAATGAAATGTTCATTCGAATAAGTCGGAACTGCGAATCAATGATCATTTTCAGAAACTGCATTGGGCATTTTCTGCATGAAAAGAACCCCATGAAAATTTGGCAACTCATTAGCAACATAGTGGAATGGTAAAAAATTTTATTTGGCTGTCTTCATGGCTTATAGATGCAATCTATTCATAAATAATAAAAAGCATTTTCCAAAAAACAAAATATTGTATTGGGGGGAGGAATCCATGTTACTCATGTTTACATTTTTGCAAACTGTGTATACTCTTCAGTAAAATGACAGTTAAATATGAAGCATATAAATCCATGTCTGCTGAAATATGTGTGTGGTATGTACTTGCCTATATTAGTTATTTTCATGCGTGTATTCAAATGTATACCAGAAATGAGGCAATGTTACCACATATTTAAATCGGGGGATGCGAATAATCAAAGTACCATATTATATTTTTTTACCTCACGTTTTACATTGATTTTAAGCAGCATAACATACCTGAATTCCAGCATGTGTTTACTGTGGGATTGCAGAGTCAATTGACTAATTGCATATTTCATATGCTTAACTGTGTGCAGAAGTACAGTTTTGCATTCATTTGCTACCATTAATATAACTACACCATTGAATATAGGTTGGAAATATTAATGAGCATATTTTTCTCATTGCCCTTTAATTTTGAGCTTGTTTATTAAATGATGATATATATTTCTATAATGTTATGAATGGAAACTTTTTGTTTATCCATGTGTTATAATTTTAAAATGCCTAATAAACTGTACTATAAAGTAAATGTATTGCATTTGTTATATTTAATAGTGTAGCTTAAAATTTAGAAAGTAATCTTGTACATTCATATTTGCATATGAGTGTCTTTTAAGCATTAATAATCTTAAGCTTTTAAGTTAAAAAAAAAAAGTGAAAACAGCATAGACACCAAATTGCTAATGCAAGCATAAATGCCTGGGATGGTAATATATTTCATTCCTTACTACTAAGGCTGATTAGTATTACAGACTGAGAAGTTTGTATTTCTTGTATCCATGATATTGTTAGGCTGAAACCTTTCTGAAAATTACCAAATAGTGAAAATGCAGGAAAAAGTGTTGGTATTTGGATCTTGCTAGGGAAACTGTATGCAACATTAGCTTGTGTGCAATTAATGTAAAATAACAGCAGATTTTAAACTGCTCGATGATTATTTATAGCATTTTTTTATTCTATTTGTACATGTTATGGAATCAATACAAATCTATGGATGTTAATTATAATATTTGTGTCTTTCAAAGACTGAAGTAATTTTTTTTTTTCCTAAATGTAATAATGAATTTGCAACTGCAGTTACAAATTCAACTGCAGTTGTAACAGTCTTTTGGTTGCATATTCAGAATATGCTTTCATGTAAAGCAAGTTTTCCTGTAAAGCAGTGGTCTCAAATCAAATTGCATGTGGGCTGAATTCACAATCTGAAATAGCTGATGGGCCAGAACTTCCTTTTGTTATTTTTTTAGCAAAATGAAAATTTTTTATTAACAAAAGAAAAAAGTATGTAAAATAAATTTTAAATTTTGCTGACAAAATATTTATTTAAACGTACATAAGCAATAATAATAATACTGCAAATGGAAAAAATTCAGTTTTTTAAAAAAATTTGAAATCTGAAGTTTGGTACCTTCAAGACATTCTTGTTAGTTATACTATGTAATTCAAATTATTGACAGCTAAATATTGAATTTTCAGACTGGTTTGTTTTATTTAATTATGGCAAAGCACTCGAGGGCTATATGCCTGAGAGGAGGTATTCTGTGGTAGAGAACTATTTAAAGGAAAACTGGCTGGAAAATATGAAAACAGTCATGCAGCCAGCCTGTTCGCTGGATTCGAACCATGGATCGAAGTACCATTGTTCAGTGACTTTACTGAAAAATTCTCAGACTGAACATTTATTTCAAATAATTTTTGTAAGTTTAATTAATCATAAAATAATTTAATTTAAACTAAAAATAAACAGCTCATGAAAACAGAAAAAATTTTCAAGCTGGAGAAAAATTTTTCTTCAACACATTAATAAAAATATGGATTTTTATTTATTTAATAAGAATATTTATTTTTATTCAAATTTTTTTATTTCTTACTACAGTATGAAACTTACAGCATTTCAATTCTGACAGAGAAATTACTAGATATTATCTTCATTACAAATTGCAGATGCTCGTCGGTCAATCGGATTCTTATTAATTTTACACCGAGGAAAAAAAAAAAACTGTTCACATATAAATGTGTTCCCAAATGAAATGATTATTCTCGGTACTACAAAATTCGCAATTGATCTTATTTATTTTGAAGAGTGTACAAATAAAAATAAGTAAAAGCTGTATTTTCAAATCTTGAATAAGATTTATATCACATTTTAAATTAGCTGTAGATTTTCTGGTGAATTATTCATAATTATTTTTAATGGAGATGATAATTATGTAAACTCAGATTTAATTATTAAAATCTTTGTAGTGCGTGCTTGCAACAAATATATAATTGAAATGTATTTGTGGTCTGCATAAAATTTCTTTGGGGGCTGAATTTGGCCTATAGTCTCCCAGTTTGACACCACTGCTTTAAGGAGTGAAATGAATTTTATCAGTTCCATTCACAGTTCCTTCAATGTTATTTATTATTACAGTGAAATGTGAGAGTGCATTTAGTTTATACAAATGATATCTATGCTTAATGTTCTGATGGCATTAAATAAGTAAATTGTGGTCAGTAATGCCATTAAATTTATTTTTTAATATGTATCAAGATTTTGGAAAAAATTATATTTCTAGATGTTTGATTTTAAATTATATTAATTTTGATTAAACATTATTAGATAGAAGAGCATCATTTCGTCCGCAACCAAGAGAAACTGTTCCTTATGAAGTAAGCTCTGTTTTTACTGTCTCTGTATGGTACTTATATCTGAATGTATTTTATGTAATTCCTTTTCTTTTAATATAAGTGTATTTTGAATAAATGTTTGTGCCATAGTTTTTATACTTATATAGTATAAATGAGTACATGTTGTTAATATATATATGTAAATATTATGTACAATCTATGCTTATTTTGTCATGTTCCTATATAATTAATGTAATGTAATTAAATTTTATAGTAATATGAATCAAATACTAATAACTTATATTTATGAAGTTTTCAGTCATTTTAAAATATGTATGTGATTTATATATTTGATTAAAATTATAAGTAGCAAATTGATATTTAAGTATTAGCCTGAGGTTGCTGATACATGCGACCAGTACAACCCATGACCCTGTTTTCCTGCAAGCATAGTGGCAATTGTAGAATATGTTTGAATTTCTTTAGAAAGTTGCAATTTTTGTTTTATTTTATTTATTGGGGGAGAGGGTAGAAAATGGGGAGGATTTTTTCCAAGTCACCTTCAGACCAATTAAAAGGAGCACCTCTGCACTGTGTCATTTTTCTTTGGTAAACCTTTTCCTATGGAAAGTTTTCAGGACAATAGTTTATCATCTTGTGTTAATCTTGACTGCATTTTGCGTAATGTGAAAACTTACTTAGAAAGGAAGTAGAAGCAATTTATTATTTTCAGGCATGTGGTATTTTACCAAAAACTTTTGAAGGTTTCTAATTTTGTCACTATGGCATACATCATAGAAGGTGCTAATGGTAATGTAATGTTAACAACTGTCCTCAAAAGTCTTAAAAACTGACACCGGTTCTCTAGAGAAGTTACTTGCCTTCTTATTTAGCAAATTTCATATGTATGTAGCGGAGAATATCAATTTGTTTTTAACTATGCTTGTGAAATAATAACTATCTTGGAGGGGAAATTTACTTAATTGATCTGCTGCTATTGAGAACGTGAACTGTACTGGCAAGTGCTGGGTAATATTCAAGTCGTAACAAATGATTCATATTAGAAATTAGTTGTTAAGAAAGGAATATTATGCATATGTATTATCTTTTCACTAAGGAAGATTTCTGTTACTAATATTTTGATTCTATTCAATATATCGATAGGTTCAATCATCTGATACTTTAGAAGGAATAGCAGCAAGGTATAACATTACCCCTTCGGAATTAGCAGTACTAAATAAACTAAGTTATAGGACTGTATTTCCAGGTCAAGTAAGTGAAGCTGTTATTTTTATATTTAAGTAATTTGATATTTGTTAAATAAAAGAGTCAGTACACAATTGTCATATACAAAATGAATGAACAACCATTCTATTACAGAATATGTTCTTATCTAGTTTGGAGCAGAACTTAATCACTACTTATAATGTATTTTAGATAATTTACATCCCAGAGAAGAACAGTCTTCAAGTGTTAGAACAGATTTTGAAACAAAGTGCAGCGGCTATTGTAAGCCTTAAAATGTTCTATATTTTACATTTTATTGTATAATTTTTCAAGCATGATTATGATTCTAGTGATATCTACTGTCTTAGTTAAATTTTGCTTTACTTCTTGTTGCTTTATTAAATTGATGTGATTATGAGAAGAAATGTATAATTGTAAAGAGAAATTTTAAAATATTTACTTTCATTTACTGCCATCAGATACAGTTACATGATATTTCAGGCATTTCGTATTCTAAAATATTTTTGATGAAAAAGAATTCTTAGAGGTCAGTTTATTTTTGAAACATATACGCTAGTATGAAAAATGTAAACTAAATTCATTTTTCAACGTACAAATTATTAACTTTTTACGAAATTATTGAAAAAAAGTTTTTAGCAATCGGTGCAGTAAAAAACCAACTGAGCAGAAAGGTGATGCATATGCAGATATCAGCATCATGACATTAGATTGTACACTGTGCGCAAAAAAAGGGGGACAGTTCTATATCTCCCATTTTACTGTGCCAATTGACGAAGTTCAAATTGTGTTTTTCATGTCTTGAAAACGTGACTTAGGATACATATTAGATTTATATATAGCATTATTCTAACATAGGTATTTTGACACAAAAATCAAACTTTTTCTGAAATAACATGCCAATTTTTTTCCATATTTTGATTCTATACCTCAAATTATGCCTAAATATTAAATTTTGTAAAATTCGGTGCAAAACTTATGGAGAAATTCAAAAATTTATCTTGCCGCAGTTTTTTCAGTTTGCATCAAGAATAATTTACTCAGTGAACTTATTAATTTATAGCAATCTATTTTCCTTTCCTTTTTTACATTGCAGATTAGCGTAAAAAAAATCATGGTTCATATTTCAAATAATTTTAACAAAGTGCGTAAACCACATTTGTCGTTATTATCACTAAAAAAAAAAAAAAATGCCAAATTTCAAAATGCATCAATATGTAAATTCATGTATATCAGAAAATTTTGAATAAAAAAACTTTGAAGGTGTGTCTAGAAATCTACTTTAAGATGATGTTAAAAATTTTATAGGTTATAATTCAAAAATTTTTTCGAAAAATTTATAAAAAAAAATATTTAAAAAATACTAATTTTAAAAATATCATAAAAAATATGCAAATTATATTTGGATTAAGTCTAAATTCTGAATTCTGGAAGATGGAATGAAGTAAGTTTAACAAAAAAGAGATTAATAACTATATATCAAATTCAATTAACATTGCAAAGCTAATTTTGAGAGCTAATGTTTTAAAATATACTGGTGCGATTTTTACGAAGCATGGCAGTTTGTCATAATTTGAGTCATAGAACCGAAATATGGGAAAAAATTGGCATGTCATTTCAGAAAAGTCCGATTTTGTGTCAAAATACCTATGTTAGAATAATGCTATCTATAAATCTAACATCCTAAGTCAGGCTTTTGAGACATTTAAAACACAATTAGAATTTCGTCAATCAGCCCAGTAGAACAGGAGATACAGAACTGTCCCATTTTTTTTTCGCAGTGTACATCAGGGCACAAGGAGTCAGTGCATGCAGTGCAAGGCAACTTCAAAAGAAGAAAGAAAGGCACATTCTTCTGCAAGTGAAAGTGAGATCATATGTGCAGTATGGCTACAAAAAAACTTTACGGTACCTCTACATGTGGTAGAATGATTGGCAAACTCGAGGAGAGACTTAGTTTGACGTCTTGCACCCAAGATTCATGACCCTGGAAAGCCTTCCAAATGACAAATGTAAGAAAGTTTGGTGGTAGTTGGCTGAGGAAAGACAACAGGGACTGATGAGAAATATATTGCCCTGTAGGAAAGAGATATTAAAAAGTTATCTCAAGAACAAATTTATAATTTCATATTAATAGTAATAGCTTTTGAAAGTTCAGAAGCTAGTTAGTGGCTAAGTGGATAAAAGTACTAGCTGGCAGTAGCTTAATTCAGGGTACTTTTCCAAAGTAAATTGATTGTGTAGGTGTTTTCAGAATTTTCACAACGGCAATGTACAAGGTATCCAACAAAGGAGCTTTTGGTTTCAAAATTAAAAATCTCTAAAATGAAGATCAATAGAAGAATACTGTAAATGGTATATTTACCCTGAAAGCTGTAGAAATGGTATACAGAAGTTTCAAAATAATAGTTATAAAAGCTGCTAACAGATGGCACTGTACAGCTTGTATCAACATACATAAATAAACTCGGGCGCAATGAACTGGAAGTTGATCTGTCAACACTATCATTATCTTCAGGGCAGATGTTTTTATTTTATTCGGCTTATAATTCCTTATTAAATGTAGTATTTCATCTCAATGTACTTCGTCTTTGATATGATTTAAATCAAATTCCTCGTCATTATAAATATCACGAATGCAAATCAAATAGTTTTCTGGTTGCAATTTTCTAATTTCGGCTATGCATAATGTATGCTTTACGCATGCGCACGTTGAAAGAAATGTTTAATAAAGTAAACAAATAAATATTAAGCTTTTTTTTGTAAATTTGGATACTCTTTAGATCATAATTGCTCATTATTTTATAAATTACTGTTTCATATTTTTAATTTTATAATTTCTGCATGCCATCTTACCAGATTTAAACTGATGATCTATAATCCGGAAAAATCGATAATCCGGAATCACCGAAGTCCCGACGAGTCCGGATTAAAGACTTTTGACTGTACTGCTTGTTGTATTCCTCTATCAGTCTTTGTTTTCGAGATTTTGAAATCGGGAACCCCTTTGGTGGACAACCTGTAAATATAAATACTGTAATTATAATTTTATTTAGAAAAGTCTTTTCGAAGGCAGCTTTCCATCTAAAGAGAGGTGTCTTTTATGCATTATCTCATAGGAAGTTACTGATTGTTATGTATGAGCTTTTATATCAGGTACTAAAAAGCACTTAGTGCAACAATGCTAAAAAAAATTAAATGACATTAACTTGATGCTAAACACTAGCATTACACAATTGAAGATTGCCAGAAATATAATATTTTAACAATAGAAATAAATTTTTCTCAAAGTGAACCAAATAATGCTTTAATAAAAAGCATTAGTCACCTCTGACTTCTATTTCCATTTTCTAATGATCTAATGCTTACAGATAAATAATCTGTTAACTTTTTGATCCCTTTCTTTTAAAAAGGTGATATCCATCTCAAGGTTTTATTTATCAGGATAAAATAATGCAATCTTTTAGGTGAAGACAGTAAGATGATACTTTAATGTGGAAAGAGGCAGGATAATGGTAATAAAGATCAAGATGATAATTCGCCAACACTTAAAAAAAGATGAAAATAATTATTATTCACTAATATTTAATTTGATAGGAATAATTTGACAGTTTCCTAAATTTGACAGTTTCCATTCAATCAAGGTGGTTTTCTGATGTAAATGTCTTCCTCTGTCCTCAAATCCACGTACTGCAGTTACTTGGGGGAGGCAAGAAAAAACATTCTCATACCTCATATATACCAATATTCTCATATAGGTGATATCCATCTATGGTATCAAAAGTTCTCAGTTTATTTTTAGTGTTTTGTCAGTTTTGGAACTGCTGATTTCATAAATAGTTATTCTGGTGATAGCCCAAAGGTTTTCCAACCAGTGCAGATAATTACAGATTGTTTCAAATTGTCTTACAAGTTATTATTAATTTTTACTTGAATTTCTATTTTTATATGATTCATCATTCGGGTTTAATTAATGCTTAATTGTCTGCTAGAGTAGGAAGCATCTTCAAGAGTTTCATGTTTAATAGAAATTTCTGGGAAAACCAGTGGTTACGGCCAGAAACATTGCGATGAAAACAACGCAAGACGAAAATGTCATAGTGCAAAACATCGTGGGGGAAAAGAAAGCAAAGAGAAAACATCACACTTCTAAAACATTACGGTATGAAATATAGTCGTCAAAAAAAACTGTTAAAAAACTTTGCAGTTTAAAACATTGTCGTCGAAAATATCGTGGTAAAAAATAAAGTACCTACAAATCATCCCAGGACAATAACATTGCATACATGCATTTTTCAGGTTATAAAAGTTGTAAATGTATATTCGCGCAAATAGTTGGAAGCACAATAAATGTTAACAACACTTTAAGAATAAATGGAAACAAAACAAGATATAATTTTCACCAAAACAACATTGGATTAACAAACAAGAAAGAAAGTAATTTGATAATTAACTAAGCAATTTTTACAAAGGTAACCTTATGCAGTTATTTATCTTCCTTTTTCTAAATAATTTTAGGCTGTATTTTTCATGAAAAATTATGAGTAAAACTTTATAAAAAAGATTAATTTATTAATGACCTTTGTTAATTAACTATGTGAATTTAAAATTCGATTAAGTGCTATAAGTTGCATTAATTTTCTACTCATTTTCAATTTTTAAATGCTTAAGTTTCCTTCTTACCTTTTCAGCAAAAATTTATTAGTTCATTCAAAAATATGAAATATAAAAATATTCATCTTTCCTTCTTGCACTCCCAAATCACTATGCAAAAATGCATTTACAACTTTTAAAACCTGAAAAATGCATATGTGCGATGTTTTCATCATGCGATAATTTGTAGGTACTTAATTTTTTACCATAATATTTTCGACGACCTTGTTTTTAAACTACGAAGTTTTTGAACTGCTTTATTTTCGATGACGATATTATGTACTGCAATGTTTTATAACTGTGATATTTTCTCTTTGCTTTCTTTTTTTCCCATGACATTTTGTACCATGATGTTTTCACCTTGCATTGTTTTCTCTGCAACATTTTCATCTGCAATGTTTTCAGTGGACACTTAACCAATTCATGTTGCAATGTTTGCTTATAATATCAAATATAAATATGGATGCCTGAGAAATATCTTTTGAGTAGCCTCAGGAGAATGCCAGTTTGAATTCATGTGTGGGAAGTTTAAGGAATGGGATAGCATTGTAGCCAAGTTATTAGTAACTTCATTGGTCATTCTTTTTATGCATGGTGTAATAGAATTTTAGAGTCACTTTCTTAATCTGTGCTGTGTGATTCTGGGTCATTGTAATTGATGCCTATCGCAGCTGTCCTTAGTAGCTTCTAGATGCATGATTTTCTCCATTCAGCAGAAGTTCAAAATGAATGTTTCAGGTGGTGGGGCATAAAAGGTAACATATTTTGTTGGTGGATACTTGGACTTACTCTTAGTGGCTTTCAATCTTTTGATGACAAACAGTAGTATGAACGCTTCATAATTTTGAATTTTATCCACTTTCCCCCCTAATGTCAGTATGCAGTGCAGAAATAATTAACTTCTGCTGTGTGACAGCAGGTATGTGCAAGTGCTTAGTTTAATGAGCTTATTCGTTGTGCTACTTTTGTAACGACAGAGCCAGAAGTGGTAGTCATGGCTTAACCTGATGGAAGAAAGAATTGATTTCCCTCCCCATTGGCAGGCAATTAGCCTGCTTAGGCTTGGCCATTTTATTGTGGAACCATTCTAGATTCCACCATTATCCCCTGAAGGCATAGACAATTATAGCCATGCCTTCTACAGAATTCAAGGGCTACTAGTATAGTGGTTAGGCATTCATAACCACTATATTGTGTGAGTGGCAAAATTGTTAGTTATGTTACTGATTTCCATTTGTTTTGATTCTGCTTTTTAGGATTATTCAAATCAACTGGATGGATTATCTCAGCAATTGATCTTTCATAAAGTATCATTTAATCTTACATCTGGGCTGTTTAAGTGTACATCCTTGTTTCAAAAAAGTAACTAAGCAAAAATAAATTATTTTACCTAGAACAAATTATTTAAAAATTATGAAACTTTAAAAAGTAAAGAATTCAGGATGAAACTGGAGAATATTTTGAGTGTTGGTATTGCACTGATTTCTTATTTTAAAATAATAAGGATTTTGATAATGCATACAATTTCTTTTCTTTAATTTTTTCTTTTCTTCTTTTTTTTAATGTGAGAGTTTGGGAATATTTCTGACAAAGCTCTAACATGGTGGAAGAGTGACAAATATTAAAACTGAGGTATACAGATAGTTGAACATTTAATGATTTCATTCTCTTAAGGAATGAAAAAAATGCTGTTTATTTTACTCTCAGAAGATCGTGTTCACATTGGTGCAGATGTTCCTGTGCATTTGATTCAATCAAGATGTAATTTTTATTTTCATAATGTATATTCCTTTTTTTTTTCCAAGTATGCCTAGTTGAATGAACTTATTTTTCTATTTTTTTTTGTCACAGAATTGTGTGTATTATAATTTTTTATTGTTTTGTTATGTTCATACGATGGGTATCATGCTGTTAATTTCATATATAAAGATATTTTTTAAAAGTTATCTTTAAATTAATATTTGATAAATAACAAAAATTAATATTTGTGCTAAATTCAACAGTTAACAAATTAATCTTATTTATGTCCACATCTACCTATGTTATGTTACAAAGAATAGCATTAAATCCTTTTTTAAATAAATAAAAAAAAGTGTTAAAACTTAGTAAAGTTGGACAATTAATTAATAAAATGAGTGTCTGTACAAAACAATATTGGGTCATCTTAAAAATTCTGTGGATTTCCAAATCAAAGCGTGTTTTCTTCCAATTATTTTGTTACTGCTGATATGCTTTTGCTACTCTGAATTATTTTGCCATTTTATTGAATTGGATGTTTAAATAGTTTACTTTACTTTTTACTTTTCTACTCGTGTTGCCTTAATTCTAGCATGAACTGTGGCATAATTTTTATTTCAATGCAGTATTAAAAATGAACTGCAAAATCATTTTCATTATATTATGCTCTTTTATTTTAGTAAAGGCAAAAAATGCGGGTCAGACTGCTAATACAATTTGTGCTATGTATGGAAAAAATACTGTTTCTGTTAACAGAGTTTGAAAGTGGTTGAGAAGTATAAATGTGGAAATTTCAGCCTTAAAGATGTTACCTGCTCTGGATAACCATCCATTGTAAATAAGTTTTAAAAAGTGCTGTGTCAAAAAAATCTAAATTTTACAGTTCAGGAACTATCAGACAGAATAAACATCTCCCCCCTAAAAAAATTCAAAACATAATCATTTGAAAAAGTTGTAAGTTGCTTCAATATATGGAAACCCGATACTTCCACACAGCAGAATATGCATGCTTGACAGTTTTTAGCATGTGATTATTTGCTAAAGAGTAAAATAAAGAAGCTCTTTTTTTTTTAATGGTTTAAAGCTAGCGATGAGAATGTATACAGTAATTTTTCAAGAAAAAGGTTGTGAGGTAAGCTATAAAAATTTCCTTTAGTAACATTGAGGGGAGGCTGCATCCCTAAAATGAAATGCTTTGTTTTAGGTGGGACTATGGAGGGAATACATATTGTTGTCATCAAATCAGATAGTAAATTTGAAAAAAAATATTTTTCCCAAATGGCAGTTTTTAAAGCAGAAATCGAAGGAAGTTCCTCATCAGCAGAAGAAGCCCGTGAAATTTATCATTGCAAACAGTACAAGATTGCATCTGTTGTTGGCAAGAACTTTGGGCACCATATAGGTGACAGTATGATTTTGCCCAGTTCCACCCCAATTTTGAGAAAACATCCGAAGGGTCCAAAGGTCTCCTAACTCTCTTTACCTGCCACCAAACCACATGAGAGGAATTTTGACTAGTCATATGTTTAGAGTGCGTGCCTTCATGCCTTAAAGACACTACATTTACAAACATCCATTCCTTCTCCAGGATTTGAATCTGGGCACTTTTGAATGGTAGTCAGAGTCACTAACCACTATCCCATTTGGGCATTGTCTTTCATCATGACAATGCTCAGCCCAAATGTGAGACAAAACCTTACTAAGTGTGACTGAGATGCTTTGTGTCGCCTTCTATATGTAGAAAACCTTGCCTTCTTAGATTTCCATCTCTTCGGGTAACTTCAGAATTCTGACCGGTGAAAAATTCACTTATTTGGAAACTGTCAAACAGCATTTTGGCAATTTCTTTACAAATAAACCTAAAATAAACCTAATAACTTTAAAAAAAAAAAAAATATCTGCTGCTTGAGAAATAGCCAAAAGATAAAAATGGTGTTTATGTGATTCAGTGAAAGTTTTCTATGTTTTTGTACCGCTTTGTATTTATAATCAGAAATACACAGAACTTTTTAACTTTTTGGATGACCCAATATTTTCTTGTGGGAAAAAAACAAATAAAATATTTCAACCCTTGAAGGACCTGGACAATTTTACTAAAATGTCAAATAAAAGTTATATTTGTATTTACCGAATTTCAGGATTTCTTGCAGGTATTACTGTATAAAATATTCACAAATGTCAGGCCATGTATGAATTTGACAATTAAAGGTTCATAAATTTTATGACAAAAATTAAATACATTTGATTTTTCAGTCTGGTGATTGGAATTTAATTGCATGTTGAAATCAGTGTATGATATTTAAATAAATGATTTGGGACAAAATAGTTGCAACAAAAAGTTGAAAGATGCTTTCTCAAATTTTCTTTGAAATGCATGCAGAAGGAATTATTACTTGCTTTTGGGGAAATAAATTTAGACTGTATCACTGTAATTTTTTGCTAATTTATAATTATGCTAATTTATTTAACTTACAGAATGCATCTTCTGAGCAAAGTAGTCCAAAACCAGGTCATGTTGAAAGAGTACCTGATGCTTCTTCAAGTAGTAAGGAAGAGAAAGGTTTACAAGCCGATGTTCAGACTAAAACTGAATCTGAAGTGAAACCTGTGGAAGAATCGTCAAAAGAATCTCTTCGAATTAATTCAAAATATGTGACAGATGGTGAAGTATGTGTCTTTAAATATTCAAGTCTTTTGTCTTTTTTCCCCTTCTAACTTTCTTTTTTCCTCCTTGGAAAAAGGATTAAAAAAAAAATGCTGAAATTGAAAGTTTTGTTTCTTATCCAAAGTGTCAAATAATTTTTAAAATGCATCGTTTTGAAAATAATGAATTGATCTTTTAAAATAGTACAAATATCTTTTGATCAGGTGAAATTTAGTCAGCTGTATAAATAAATTAGAGCAGTAATTTAAGAGAATTAATACCTTATTTAATTTATAATGGAGATTGTCATAATTATTATTATTACATATTAACCTTCTAAAAAAATTCAATTTTTTAATTGAAATTCAGTCAATCCCAGCATGCTTTTAATGTTCATTATTTATGCTTGAGTATTCATAATCTCAGTGAAGTTGCATTGCATTTTGAAAGATTTTTTTTTTCAGACTTGGATTTGTATAACTTGCAGTTTAGTTGCATGGTGTAGAGTATTACTTATTAGAAAACCGCGGAACCTGTGCCTATCACATTTGCAGTAGGGGTCTTTAATATTTTACTGAATTTTCAAAACTGGGAAAATAAAAATGATTTTGTAATAGGACTGAAAAATAAGAAACATTTTTATTTACTTAAATAAGTGTGATTATATATATATATATGTATATATATATATATAAAGCTACCTAATTTATTGAGACTTTTCTTCAAACATATTATTCACTGTTGACAATTTCACTTTCAGAACTTAAATTCTCAGCTTCATTATTGCACCAGAGTACATCATCTTTCATGCCATTTTAAATTAGTAAATCAGCATTGTAGAAAAGATTTTTTGATAGTTTCTTCAGGGATATCTTTCCAAGATCATAGGAGATCAGCAGAAATATATTTTAAAAATATTTACTTTGAATTTTAGCAACATTCATAATTATTAAAATTCATAATTATTGTCTTAAAAATTTGATAAAAAATGTGACTTAAATTTGAGGTAATATGATGTATATCTATTAAATGTAACAAGCTATTCTAAGGTAGTTCAGTAGCACATGTGAATAATGGTTACAAAATTATATATACAGGAATTAAAGAAATTTCACTGTTAAAGCCAAAAGTGGATGCGTTAGCAATAATGCAATAAAGTGGCAATTTATGTAATTTACGTACTGCTTGAAGACTACAGATTTTGAATCAGACATAGCAGTTTAAATTTAGACACTGATGCAACAAAAAGTATTAAAAATTATAGTGAAGGGGAGAATGTACTCTGCATGGTTGAAAATTACACATAATTAATATCCACTGCTTGCTCACTTTAAGTCATTGTAACTTAGTAGCACTATGAGTAGTATAAGGTGGCCAGATTTTAAAATTGTTAAAGCGAGACACCATTTATCGGGGGGAGGGGGAATCTTTATTAAAAATGTGGTCTATATGAAGCAAAACAAATTTTCATAGAACATAAAAATAGTATTTACCTTGTGTACCTTTTTAAATTTCAATGTAAGTACAATTTACAAATATAATACATTAAAAAATTACATATAGTATTATTTTATTCTTTGGCATATTTCTCATTTGAGTGAATTCTTTTAGTAGATTGCTGTTGTTTTTTGTTGAATAACTTTTGAACAACTTCTGATGTACAAGATCTGAAGGAGTGATTTTGATTATTAGTATGAGAAGACATAAGTCCTTCTGCTAATGCTAATTTAATTTCTTCGTCTCCATAAATTGTTTTCTGAAAGAATTCCTGCATTTTGGAGGAAATTGCAGTAGTATTTAAATATCTTTTATGTTTCTGTGTCTCCGAGTGCTTTGAAATATCATTCTTCCAGCCAGGCGAAATAGAAAATTCACCATTTCATTTCTCATATTTAGCACATAATCGCTTTTAGTTTTTTTGACAAAAGGAAATTCACTTCTTAGATCATCTTTGAATTTGCATCTTCTGTTTTTACTCATTATGTTAAAAATCTAAAGAAGTAATTTATTTTATTTTAATTTAATTATAAATTTTTATCTATATATATTGCTTTTAAAAAACACAGTAAATAAATAGGTACATAATTACATGAACAAATTTTATTCTTAGTTTAAAAATTAAATTAATTTGTTTATTATAAAGTAACTATATTTTCAAAATTATTTAAATTTTAATCCTATATTTCTTTTTAAATAATAACAATACTAACTTGTATTATTTTTCTCTGAATTTGCCGTAACGTAAGTATAAGCATCACTTTCAAGGCCGACGCTAGACCTTTTGCCGCCACTTTAAAATATAAATAGTAAGAGTACTCTCTGCTAAATTCAAGAAAATTTATGTGCTTATGAAATAAATAAATAGATTACATACCTAAATTGCCTGAATAGCTGATTTGTTGACATCACTTGTTTAACTAGCACTAGCACACAGTACGATGTGTATCATCTGAGAGACAGTTGCAAAATGTTTTCATCATTGCCATTACCAAAAAATGCCATTAAGTCCAAGCAATGGTGGTCCAATTCTAACAACTGATCAACAATGTGAACTTTTATAAGCAGTTTTCGATAATCAAATGTCAACAATTATTTGTTATTATTAAAATTTAACATTATAAAATTAAAAAAATAGTACAAGACTCATATCCTGGCGAAGTAGCCACATGGCCGCCGAAAAAAACCGTATTCTCCCGACGTTCCCTAGCTTGTAGTGCATTCTTTCCAAAAACCGGGACATTTTAAAAATGCCACGGGACAAATTGTTAAAAATCGGGACTGTTCCGCCAAAAGCTGGACGTCTGGCCACCTTAGTGTAGTACAAACTATGTTTTTTTCTGAATGAATATAGTTCTGTTATTTCTTTGCGAGTCATTTTTAAAAATATAATATGAGGTGGCACGCAATGAACTGGAAGTTGATCTGTCAGCACTATCTTCAGCACACCTTATCTTCAGGGCAGATGTTTTTATTTTCTTCGGCTTATTCCTTACTAAATGTAGTATTTCATCTCTATAGACTTCGTCTTTGATATGATTTAAATCAAATTCCTCGTCATTATAAATATCACGAATACACATCAAATGGTTTTCTGGTTGCAATTTTCTAATTTCGACTATGCGTAATGTATGCTTTACGCATCGCGCGTTGAAAGAAATGTTTAATAAAGTAAACAAATAAATATTAAGCTTTTGTTTGCAAATTCTGATACCCTTTAGATCATAATTGCTCTTTATTTCATAAATTACGGTTTCATATTTTTAATTTTTAATTTCTGCATGCCATCTTACCAGATTTAAACTGATGATCTATAATCCGGAAAAACCGATAATCCGGAATCGCCAAAGTCCCGATGAGTCCAGATTAAAGACTTTTGACTGTATATATATTTAAAATATGTAATATTGGAGAAAGGTGATTATGTAGATGTTAATTTATAGTTATAAATATTTGAAGTCGTATAGATGCAGTCATAGTAGATTTAAGTGATAATTTTTATTTTAATTGACATTTGTAGCTGCAAATAGCTTGTCATGTTAGTTATGCCTGTTCCAAAGAATTAAAATTTTTTGCATTTACATTACATTACTTTATGGTCAGAAGAGAACCAGCAAGCAGCAATATAGTTAGGTCAGCTACATTTTAGATCATTATATGATGATTAATTAAGGTAAATTATAACTTGTAGTCAATTTGCAATAAATCTGAAAGTAAAAATTATAACAAACATTCTTAATCCAAGAAACATTTAATGCAATGTTTTTTTTTTTTTTTTGTTTCAATTTTGTTTGTTTGTTTGAATGTTGTTTCTTCCTGCTAGCTTGTTGGCCACCATCTCTGTATTATATAATTATTTTACAGCATACTGCAAGACTTTAATAATTAAAAACCTCAATTCTGAAATTTCTACTATTGTTCACATGTATGTATATATTATATAAGGTGTTTCTGAATTCGACTGTCAAATTCAGAGGGATGTTGGTAGGCATCAAGAGAAAGACAAATTATCATAGGATGTGGTTTGCAAACAACATTTAGTGGGTGACAATTGCAAAAATAGACGTCAAGGTGATAGTTCACTTAACAAAGAGAGTGGGGCAAACAAATGCAAAGATTTTAGGAGCACTATGGTCGAGAAGAAAAAAACCTTTTCATATGCAAATATCCAATGCATATGGGAAAAATAAATGTAGCAGTCAAGAAGAAGAAACCTTCTTGTATGCAAATTTCCTATGCGTATGGGGAAAATAAAAGCAGCAAGCAAGTATTCATTAGTGGGCATTGCAGGATTCACAGGTGTTTATGGAAACGACATGTCAGATTACACGGACGAGAAATATGTGGATATGCATCTGAAAGAAAAAACCATTGCCACTTGCTCAAGCAGATGGCGGTGAATGCCTAGGGCAATATCCAAAAAGGAGATGTGCACCATACCACCTTCACAAACATCGATCAATGGCTGTGGGAGACAGGATCCTCCCAAATGATGGCTCAATGCAGGACAAGAACACAGTACACACACACCTGAAACAGAAAACTGAATAACACAACGGTTTGCCATTTTGCAATCAACCAGTACATGATTGGTTTTAGCTAAATTGTGTATTTGTCATAAAATAGTGTGGAAGGCTCTGTGTGCAGAACATGCCTTTCATGTGCAGAAGGTTTAACACTAGGTGATGTCCAACTACTCCATTTGAGTAGAGTTTATGTGCTGGGTACTTGATGCCACACAGAATAATTCCACAGTTCCCCACCACTGTTTTATTCTCAAATGAAGCCTGTATTACGAGGGAAGGCGTGGCTAATGTTCACAATGCACATATGTGGTCATCCAAAAATTACCATAGGAGTGTTTTTGTCAAAAGTGCAACAGAAGTTTGGTATTAACTTCTAGCCAGGGATTCTCGGAGATCATGTGTTGGGACTGTATCTTCTGCCTGAACGCCTGAGTGTCATAAATTACCTTGTTTTCCTACAGCATGTCTTCCCATACTAATTCAGAAGTCAAACAACAAATATGTCTTCCCATATTTGATGCAGGGAATACCAGCCACTGTGTGCTAAAGCATGTTGTTCATGCATAATGATACATCAACACATTTTGCAACTGTGGGCAATAATATCCTGAATGCTACATATCCCAAGAGGGGGATTGGATGTGGAAGTACCTTGGCCTTCACTCTACCCAGACCTCGATCCTTTGGATTTCTTCTTCTTCTTCTGGCTGCCTGAAATCACTTGTATATCAGATACCTGTGGTTACACTGGAGGATCTGATGGCATGGATTGTTATCATTTCAGCAGACATTGTCAGCACACTGGGTATGTTTGAATGTGTCTGGTAATCCTTTGTTCATCAGTGTTGGCCATACAGTTATCTTTGCAGCCACATCATTGAATGGTTCCTGTAAAACAGTCTCGTCGTCTCCTTTCTCATTTTGAATTGTGATCCACTGTAATCCTGCTTTATGTCAAATAAATGTTTTTCTACTTATTATTGGCCTTTTTTGTTCCATTCAATGTCATACCCTTTATTAATAAAATACCGTATTTTAAAAATAGTTATCTATTTTTGCGATTTTCTCCCGCTAAACATAGTTTATGATCCCATGTTCTATGGCAATTATTTATCCTCTTGATGCCTACTTTCAACTGTCTGGATTTGTTGGTCGAATTCAGAGCCACTCTCTCTCTTTCTCTCTCTCTCTATATATAATAAACATATTTAAGCAATAATATTTTTCCAAGAAATATTGAGAAATTTATTAGTTCTAAAAGAGAACACTAATGAAATGTAAATTTTCTTGAAGCTGTTGCACCAAAATCTAGTAAAGACTTTTTTAATGCAGTGAAGATGAATGATTACAAAGTCAATATTGTTTGTCCTCCTTTTCAAAGGAAATCATAGATGAATACGAGTTTAATTCATAGTACTTATTTATTTATTTTTTTTAAAGTGCATGTAACATTACTTTAAAATGAAATTAGTCCAATCTTTTTTTCTCAAATTATTCTTTTAATCATGTTTTGAAGTAAAACCTATGTTCAGATTTTTAATGAAGTTTTTATCATATTGCATTTTAGGGAGTGGTTAATGGTGTATTAATTGTGACCACTAATCATATAATATTTGACCCAAATGTTTCGGATCCTTTGGTTATAGAATATGGATTGGAAAAGTATGGGGTTGATGCACCTATGAATTGCATTGTGAGGGCTGCACTGTATACAGACATTTTTCGTATGAGGACCAAAGATACCAGGTTAGAACTGAAATCTTTGTTCTAATATTGAAATGTTGTTGTAACTGAATTATTATTAACAGCACAAAACATCAATAGTATTTGTGTTTGTATAATGCAGCATGAAAATAATAGCATAAAAACATCTGATTAGTATTTGTATATTTATAAAGTTGCAAAGTTCTTTAAATGCTTCCTTAATTTTTTAAAAATATTTGCTGTATTAATTTTTCCTTATTAAATCACTAAATATTTAGCTTTAAATCTATTAATTGTATTAAAATTGAGTGTACTTAAACTATTTAATTCAGAGTATGAAATACAGTTTGGTTGTAATTAAAATTTCATAATTTTTTGCTATTTTCACCTTCAAAACCTTGTTAGTAAATTGAAATCTGTGCCTATACTAGACAGAGAATGGCAAGAAATATTCTATGAAGAAGTTTATTTTACTACTTCAAAGGAAATCATTGCTAGTTGGTGGATGTAAGACTTTGTACAGCAAAAATACTTAGAAAAAGCACAGAATAATTGATTAATGTAAAACCGAAAAGTTTTATTCTCTGCACAAACTGAGACACAAAATGGGCTTAATTCGCATCACAAAATTAAAAAAAAAAAATTATAGAATGTAAAAAAATTACATATAAATCTCATTTTTCTTCAGTAGAGTGCTAGAAGTAAGTAGTATGATATATCTCAAATGTTTTCTGTGCACTGTACAAAATGCCAATTGTTTATGCTGTAATTATCAAATTGTCCTATATTAATGGATGCCGAGAATGGGAAGAAGATAGGCCCCAAGGTTATACAATCCTCCAGAAGTACAAAATTTTGTCTTGTTGAAGGGAAAAAATCTGTCTTTCACATTTGATTATTATTTTCTTTGATATATACATATTACTATAATTAGGCTTCATATGCTGTTCTTATTTCTTTTTGGTATAGAAATGGTTATTGCTTCTATTTTCCAACTCAAGCCAAATATTTTTTTTTTTTTTTTTTTTTTTTTTGGAAGAAGAGGGATTTGTCTGATTGTCCTTGAAACTGGTAGAATTTTATTAAAAATCGTACTGCAGATCAAGCTTGCTGTTTTGCTTAATTTTAAAGAAACAGTCAGTCAAACTTTTTACGAAGGTAAAACAAATGATGGGATGATGTTTTCAGTCTGTTTTATTGTAATTATATATCACAGCATGAGTAGCTCAAAACATTCCTAGACTCATTAACCCTCTCAATGTAATTTTTTTTTATCAAAATAGGTTAAAAAATTGTGTTATTTTTATTACATATTTCAAATATACATATTTCATATTTCAAATATATATTTTAGAGTTAAAAATAAACAAAAATGTTGTAAAAGAATCTTTTTTTCAATATGGAATTAGATTGTAAAATAAAAGGTTGTATTAAAATCGAAACTGAAGAATAATCATATAAAAGCAAAATTTTGAAAATTAATCTTGGTTAAGTTATGATTTATTTTATGAACTGCAAAGGTAAAACATATATACTAATGAAAATATGCAAAATACTTACAAAACATGTATTAGAAATGAAGTTTAATATGATAAACTTCGAAACAAGGCTCGAGTCCTACCTAGCAATCTTTATATATTTCACAGAAATATGGATAACTAACTCCATCTGTTAACCCAGATCTGAATAAATAATTAAACGTCACACAAAAGCTGAAATGGAATGATAGGTGGGAAAAGAGTGGATTGCACAGTTAAATAGGCAGAAAAAATCGCAGGTTGCACAAATTTTCTACTTCCATGTTGCCTATGGAAATTACGAGATACGTAACGAGAATGTTAATAGTAGTTTATTTGTATTCAGAATTATCTAGTTAATTTGGAAGTTAGTTTTAAATCAGCTTGATATTAAAAATAATTAGGTAATTAAAAATAATAAAAAGATAAGGAAAATATATCAGTTCGGATTTCAAGAAAATGCACCGTGCCGATTGCTGTAAGGACCTTTATTTTCGCGAAAATTAATATATTGGTGATTTTGCGAGTTGAAAATTTCACAAATTTTATATGAACAGAACTGAAAGTTGAAAAATTTCTAAAGTATCTAAGTAAAGTTGAGAAAGTACATCTTTACAAAGTACAAAGTAAAAATTCCAAAAGTACATCTTTTGCATAAAGCATTTTAAGAAACTTCCTTTTGTCCAAAAGTTCATCACCCCCGTTCCCGTCTAAATGGCAAGTCCAAGCGTTTATTGAGTGATATTCTAATGAGCTTCAATTTCTAGACGAAAAAGAATCTGTGGACTTGCGAATATCACGACTAAAACCGATTCATGCTTCTTGGCTTGTGCGCGTATTTAACGGTATTGAAGCCAAACATTGAGATAATTTTGAATGGCTTCAAAGAAGCTGGTAGAAATAGTATTCTAAGTGAAGGAGCTGCGTTCTATTAATTTTATTGTTTTATATTTGAGAAATATATGTGTTCATGTATGCATTCATGTATGCATTCTATGTGTTCATGTATGCATTCACACATGCATTCATACTTACATTTATGAATCTTGTCCTGATAACAGAGGAGTACCACATATTTTTTTTTAAATCTGAAACTGGAGAAATAAGAATTATGCATTGATATTTATGTATAGCTACATTAATTGCATAAAAACACAGGAAGTTCGGATTAATTTACCTCAAACATTTCTTGCTATTTGAAACCTATTTTACTACTTTTAAAACGATGTAAATATAGACTAGTGAATCATAAAAATCTAATTGCGGCTTCTGAGCTTTCTTGAATTGTAGCATGCTGCTCCAACTGACACAGAATTTGGCCACCCTAGCATAAAAAATATTCAGTACTGGTAAATAGTAAAAAGATGACATTCTTCCAGGGCTGTACACAGTTAAATGATGAATGATACAATTTACTGCCTTGAAATGGAAACTGCTATTACACTTTCTTTTTCTTTTTCCTGAAGCATCTCCGTAGTCCTAGTTGACTGCTATCTGTTTAACTGTATATGAGATAGCTCTATGATGATGCATAGATTAAACTGGAGGTAAGGCCATTTTTAGGGCATTTTTAACGACACCATTAAGTGAGATTAAGCAAATCACATAGTGTTCTGTCATCATGCATTGTTAATCTGCTCTTTCAGTATTCTCATTACCTGTCTTTAAATTTAATGGCCAGTTGAATTGAAGTTACGAACAGGTTCAGAGGCAGCTTTAGTTAATATTAATAGTTGTCCTAAAAAATAAAATGACTGACATGTTTTTATTCGAGGGAGAGTTAAATAGCATTTTTTATTTAAGAAGTAATTTGTTCAGAGCTAAAGAAGTACCCTAATTTATCAAATAATAATAAAAAAAATATGCTTTCCAGAGTGTTGCTACTTTGGATTATAACATATTTTAAGTGATTCCTTACGTTGTATGAAAAACCATAACTGGAAATTATAGGATATAATCATCTATAGATTAAAAACATTTTAATTTTATTTAAAAGAGAAATTTTTTAAACTTCCTTTACATTTGTATACATATTTTATTTTAAAAAGTACAGTTTGCCATTTTAAATAATAATTATGAGATATACATTCACTTAAATATTATAAACTTACATTTTAAACATTATATTCATAATTTGTGAATTCAAGTATTTTTCTCTGTACTCATTAAATTATAAAGATATTTTAAGATATTACCTTGAATATTTTACATGTGGACATATACGTACTGAAATTAGAAGAAAAACACACCAATGCAAAATTTATGATTTGGCAAAACAGCAAGAATAGAAAATAAATTCCATTTATTTAGCTTTATATTTGAATTTTTTAATTTTTTAATCAAAGTTTGTGTATTGGTTGTGGTGTACAGAATAAAATAATTATCATTATGCATTATAAAACAGAAATCAAATAATTCCATTGTTTTTTTTTAAATACTTCTCAAAACCTCATAGATAGACCTATTTTTCACATTTAATTGCTTCTCCTCATATCTTTTTATATTATCACTTGTTTGGCCAATTTTAGCAAACTTTGAGAACTCGCGAAGAGTGCTTACCACAGGGATCACCATGGTGGTTTTTGAAGAGAGTCATTATCGTTACTGGACTCGTTAAATTTAGCATCTGCTTCCTAATTAAGCATCATATAATTCGCATATTATGAGTACAGCTCGCAATCATATACATCAAAACTTCTTATATTGAAACTGCTACTCTCAAATAAAGATAAAACAATTAAAAATTCACACAGAATATTATCTTATTCATACTTTGCAAATAGATATAATTTTATATTATTTGAAATAGTATAAATAGATTTAATTTGCTCTTTTCTTAATTTTAAAGGCTTTAAAAATCATTAATATTTTAAGTGATTCTCTGTTTTAATAATTGGCAACTCGGCCTTTGGCATTACTTTTGGCATTACAAGTAAATAGTGTGACACATTTTATAAGACGAAAGAGGCAAGTTCAAGGGCACGGTATTCCATTTATGCAGAATAATGTATTTTTATTATGGGAAAAAACACATTAATTAATTGTCCATCAGCTTGCATGAATTTGTATTTGAAATTGAGCATCAAAGGTCAAATTGAAATTAACTTGCATCTATGTTCTTTAATATAACAATAATGAGGAATTTAGAAAATCATCTTAGTTTTTTTCTTTTTCTTCTTTTTAGCACAGGGGAGTCAAAAGTGGATGTATATCATTCAACAAAAGTCTTAATGAGGAAGAGCAAATCTCACAATGAAAAACTAGCGAAAAATGAAAAATCCAAACCTCCTCGTCGATATAGTTCTGCTGAAGTTGGTGTAAGACATGGAGACCTTGGAATGAAGATTAGTAATTCATTCCAAGATAGCCTGTCAAAAATCTGTGAAAATGCCGATTTTGAAGAGGAGGATGAAACTGAATCACCTGCACTTGTTGTAGAAGATATTGACATTTCTGTGTCTACAGAACCTGAAGCTGCAGAAACAAAAGATTCTAAAAGAACTACAAAGCCTCCATTGTCTGCTTCTTCTTCATTGGAATCAGATGATGCCCCAGGATCTAGAAAAGCATCTATATCAGATGATGATAATTTAACTTTGACTGTTGATGCAATTTCCCCTAAAAAGAAGTCTAATTTTGAGAAAACTAAACATAAACTACATAAAGGACTTAAAAGGTTATCAATTACAGATGGTCTATTTTCTAATCCTCATGGTGGGCGTCGAATGTCTCTTCCTGCTTTTACCTCTTTACCAGACTTTAAACTCAAAAGTCCCACTGTAAAATCTCCAAATGCTGAAAAAACAGTAAAATCCATATCAGAGATGGAAAAGCCTAAACAGAGTGGTCCTACATATGTAAATATGGTTGATGAAAAACCAGAACTCTTTGCTCCAGTGGACAGTAAGTTTTAAATTTATGTTTTTTATTATATTTAAAATTATAATTTAAATTTAGGAAGCTTGGATTTTACTATTAATTTATATTTTTATTGTGTTTAATATCATTTTACAAGTGTAGAAATCTCAAGTTTCAGTGACTTTCAGAATTCATTTATTAAACATATGGGGATTAAAAATATTGTCTGAAAATTTATTTTTAATTTCTTTCAAAAATTTTATGCGTAAAAAACTAAGTTGACAAATTTCTTTCAGTAAATTGATTTAAATTAAAATTTATGGTATCTGGAATTATATACTCTGACTCCAGTCGCATTTAGATAGAATTATTAATTAAATTTATCTCATTTTTATGACAATTTCAAGACTGTTTTATGAGCACTAAAAATCTATTATATACAGTACAAAGTCCGAGATCCGGATGTCCAATATCCGGAATGATCTAAAATCTGCACCTCAAAACTGCCAAGAGCCTTTTTTTTTTTTAAATGCTTTATGCATGCGCATTTGATTTTTTTTCCGCCTGTAGATAAAACATATGTAGAGTCCCAATTCTTAATTTCCCTTCGGCTCTAAAACACTAAATAAATACTTTTTTTTATTGAAAAAAACAGTAATTTAGCATAAATTTGTGTGATCAATAATTTGGCTTCATAGCTGCCTATCTGCTTGGCCTACATTTCAAACTGAAACATTCTAGATAAAAACATCATTAATTTTGCATCTACTTATATTTTATATCCCTGACGCCAACCTGGCGAATCATTATTTATTATATTTTACTTTCATCACCACATGTTTATCAACACATGACCACTTGAGTAATGAGGCATGAAGCGATGCCCAATGATTTTTTTTTTATTAGTAATTTTTTATATTTTTACAAAGAGTATGGTAACCTTTTATGTTGACATTCTTACTCTTGGTAATGATTACAGATTTAAGTTAAATGGGCTAAGAAATTTTGAGAAGGAAAAAATTAACAAAAATTACTATGCACTAAAAATAGATTAATGATACTCATAGGCCAAAAGATTACATTTAGTGCTATTTGAAATAAAGAATAACTGATTTGTTTTTCACATAAACTCAGAACTGGTGGCAGAATTTAGGGAAGACAAGATTTTTTGGAATTTAGAGAAGCACCGAGCAAAAGCATTGAAGGATGAAAATATTTTTAGAATTTAGGGAAAGCACTGGGATCCAAAATGTAGGGTCTGCAAAAATTTAGAACTTAGGGAAGCACTTGGTAGCAGCATTTAGGACTCTCAGGGACTGCATGAGGTGGTTTCAGCGGCGGCACTCGGTAAGCTTTAAGTATATGTGGGAATTTATTATTCAGGATTCAAATAAGCATTCAGGATGTGCAAGAAATAGATGTAAGTATAATAAATAACTAAACTAATATAATCAATTCTTAATTGTCTCAGTGCACAATAAAAGCAAGACAAAATTTAGCTGAACATTTTGTCTTTTGTCACCAATCTCGTGATACATAACCAATAATGAATAGTGGACGCTGTTAAGCAAGGCTAAAGTTAAGCTTTACGGATTCCAAGGAATTTCAGCCAATATAGTAGATTGCACTGTTTCTTAACTTTCTGGATTGATAGTTTTTTTTTGCAGGCTGTTCTTATTGCAGCAATTTGATGAAAATTAAAGTTCCAACTTTCGATCATGTTGAAAACAGTTTTTAATTCTGGAGCTGCAATAAGATCTACAAAGTGAAAGTACATTTCGATGTCCATTAAACAAATACTGGAATTGCTGCAAAAAATGAGTGAAGTTTTTAGCTTTGAGGTTACATCATTCCGAATTATGGGTGTCTAAATTAACGACTTTTGACTGTATTAAGCTTTTTATGTAAATTTTGTTACCCTTTAGATCATAAATGCTTAATTATTTCATAAATCACGATTTCACATTTTAAATTTTATAATTTCTACATGGCATCGTAAAGTGTTAATCTGAAGATGTAATATCCAGAAAAATCCCAAATCCGGAATCGCCGAAGTCTCGACAAGTCCGGATCTTCGACTTTGTACTGTATAATATTTAAATGGCCTAGAATTGTTTATCTGCAGTAATGATTATATTTTAATATGTTATTGAAGCAAAAAAAAAAAAAGGTGATAATCATATACTAGATTGCTCCTTCAAATTGTCATTACCTCAGTAGCTCACATATTTTTCTTAAAAATAATTGCACATTGTCAAAACCTGATTACTTTATTATTATTAATGATTTCTAATTTAAAAGAGTTTTTAGCTGGATTAAATGAATCACACTGAAATTTCTAAGCTAGCCGCCTGTACATATTTTGGCAATGAATGATTACACAATTACAGAAAGACTGTAACTGATCATTTTAAATTAATGGAGAATGATAGTTCATTTGAAATAAAACAAAACATTAACACTTAACTTCATGTATTGTTAATGGAGAATATTGCTATTATTGTTACAAGCATGTTGATTTATTTTTATAATTGATACTAATTCTAAAACGCATAGTATTATTTGTGTCTATTTTAATGTATTTAATTTGTCTGAAAAAGATACCAAGCTAAATCTGGAAATATTTTTAGTATATTATTTATATTGCTGTTGGTTGTAACGTCAGCACTTTTTATTTGTATTTTTACATGCCCCTCAAATTATCACAATTTGGATGTTTTGGAGGAAGATATGGGTTTGTAATTTTGTTCTTTTGCCTTTCTGTAATTTTAGATTATTATTTGTGTTATTTATAATATATGTTTTTTAACTTTTAAAAGTTGATTCAAAATATTTTGGAATTTTATTGATTTATGATTAAAATTTCAGAATTGATACCCCGTCCAGCTAAATCATTCTGTGACACACCTCTCTACTTATGTTTAAGAATGGGTGAACCCATTGATAAAACACTGCAGCGTACTAGTCCTGTGGTTCATTTTGGCCAGCAAATGAAGCCAGAATATTGGTTTAGCATTCCTAAAGACAGGTATTAAATTAGTTACATGTAATTAAATAAAATATATTTCCTACTATTTTAATGTGCCTCAGAATACAAAGTGTTATCATCTTTGGTTAACTAGTAATGTCAGTTGTTACCACAGAATACATACATTTATTATAATGAGTATCTTAGGACAAGCACATAGTTTATAAAGGGATTTTTGTATATTTTTTATGGAGAGACTAAAGACCACTAAGAAACTTAAAATCGCCTATGAATGTTAGTAGCATTCGTAACTATTTCTGCAAGGATAATAAATATAGATTATTTTCTTAGCAGATAGTTATGTGACTCCAAATTAGAATCAAGGTATTATGCTGCATACTTCAAGTAGCTTAAATAATTGAATGCAAGGCTATATCCTGTCTTAAAGACAGGCATATGTTTTATTACTAAAATTTTATACATATCAATTCTTTTTCATGTGCATAGTTATTTCATTTCAGTGATAGACCTGAGATTACTATATAATGTAAATAGAACCACAAAGCTGATCAAAATGCTTATTGTCACAGATATCATTCACAGTGTTAAAAAACAGGAAAAGGTTTGAATTTACTTTATCTATAATCAGATTCTCTGTAATATAGAATCATTCTTGTAATTCTAGATATTGCTATAAGTATTGTAATTAAGCCATGAAAGTTGGTCTTTTCCTATAAAATTTTTCTTTTAGAATTCGGGAACTTTTTTCTTGAAGACTTCCTGAATTCTAAAAGAAACATTTGTGAGCAATTTAGCTCCATAATGCTTTCTCTAAAGTAAATTTTGAATTTAGGAAACAAAAGTATCATAATTAAAGTTTTAATTTTCTGAAGTCGATGACCAATTGTCATTACTATAAGAGTATTAAATTGTCGTTTAATTTTCTTCTGTGTTGCAGTAGATTCTTTTTTGCTCAAGAAAAGTAAATATTTTTATTTAGTTTGATATTAAGAAATATGTTTTTATAATTTAAATTATCTTGTCCTATATATATATATAAGGTTCAGGTGTTCTTAAATGATAATTTGAGGCAAATTTATAGAGTTGTTAAGTTTGTTTTGGAGCAGGACACATGAAAAATGTACAGTGCTCTTGCCAGGATTCAAACTGCAGATCTTCCCATTGCTAACTTTACACCCTGAAGGCACATGGTAAGAAGGGAGGAAAAACCTTACATACTTCCCTTCTTAAAGGGCAACTGGAGAGGAGGTAATCCAACTAACTATTTTTTGCCACCTTTTAATTTGGGCACTACTTTTCAGTGTTTTCTTTGAGGACCTTCCTATTGCTGGCTGAATGGGTATTATATTATGAAGACATACAGTAAGGAGGGGGGGGATACCTTAAAATTTATTCTAAGCAACTACAGTAATAATAATTTTTAGCCTTATTAAATTTTGTACCTTTTGCAAATTATTTTTATCTTTTCCATTTGATTTCAGAATTTCAACATTCAAGTATAGAACATTCTTCTGTATACCAATTTTCAGGATTAATTACATGTCAATTTTAAACCACATATCTTGCACATATCCTGTATTTCTAAACATATTAATGCTTGGAATAAAAAATGAGTTCATTTGACAATTTTAAATATAGTGTTTGATGTCATATATTTTATTAGATCTGTAAATGCTATGAAATTTTCATGAATGAAACTCTTTTGGAAGCCTTAGAACTTCGAAAAAATCATTATTTTCCCAAGCAGGCTTATGTCAAAAATACTTTTTGATATTGATGCAGATGCTATAATCTTTCTACCACAGATTAGTATTATTATATTACAAATATTTTAAAAGTAATATTTCATTTTTGTAAATGTAAAATGTTTTTTAAAAATTGTAATGTGATTAAAAATTTTTGTATTTAAGAACTGTTCATATCATAATGTTAGAAGTCTGATATTTTCAAATTTAGAAGTTTTACTTTTTATTTTTTGTATGAAACTCTATATTAATAATGATTGCTAAGTGCACTAAATAAACAAAATGAGGAGCAGATGTAATACAGATTGAATGATGACACTAAAATGAAAGTTTTCCAAGAATGATCTCAAATTTCACTTTAAATTTTATGGTTAAAAAAAATTGAAAATATTTGTCAAGGTGCATTAAGTTTTAGAGTTTAGATGAATAAAACAATGAATAATGAATATTTATGAAAAATATTTAAGAAATGTAATGTATGGTTTTACTGCTAGAGGTGTTGAAGTAATGGAAAATTAAGAAACTAATTTTGAGTAAATAAAAGAAGAAAATTCAATTTTTTATTAATCTTATTCTGTATTATTGTGTATCTTATATCTGTTTCATTTTAAACATTTTAAAATTTTTCATACCCTTCTTTTCTTACGAAGATTTGAAATTTTATACTTTGATAGCTGTTGTCTGTATTTTCTATATAAATATTCATCAGTATTTTCTGTTTCAATCAAGAAAATACTCACATACTGCTATTTTTAATAACAGTGCAACACACACATAAAGTTTTATAACTTTTCATGCTTGTGGAGTTTCTTAACTGGTTTGTTATTGAAAATAGTTGTTCAAGGATATTGCAGATAAAATACCTCATTAATTTTAGTACACAAATATGGGTGTTTTATATACTGTAAATATGTTGTATAATTCAGAGATTTTCCCTGAAACATGACATATAATGTAAATAATAATAATAAAAAAAAAGATGCAATCTTTTTTGACAATAAGAATATTAACTAATGTTATTTTTCATTTTCTCAATTCCCATTTTATTATAAAAATTTCATTAGACAAATTTATGACTGCTTAATTATGTTCATGAAGTTTTACTCATTTAAAAATTGTTCCATGTATTTTAAACTTCTAATGTTTTTTTTAATCATCAATGTGTGTTCTAAATTTTATTGAATGTTTCCTAAAAAATTTTATTCTTCAAAGTTCACTCAAGAGTTTTTTTTGAAAAAACTATTTCAGTGTGGATAGTCTGTACTGTTTCTTCTTACGTTGGTGTCCTGAAAAATATGGTGATATAGATAATTTAGACTTGGAGAAAATGGGTTTTACGCCTATTGAGTATGAAAGTAAAGAAGAATGCGAAGAGAAGGCACCGCGGGATCACAGGAGAGCCAGTTGGGCATTTCCTTGGAGAAGGAAATCTAAAGATGTTACTGAGATGTCTGCTACATCTAGTCCTGAGGACTGGGAGGTATTAAAAATTATAATCCTCGTATATATGCATTGTTTATGTATTTTTTGTAATATTCAATATGTAGTATGTGGTGCAAGAGAGAAATGTAGAAAGAATTTTAAGGAAGATTTTAAAAGGAACTATTCAAATGTGAAATATTTTGCAGACAATAATGAAAATTATAAATACAAACAAACATAGAATTAGAATTTGGCACTGAGAATCGGATTTTGGACCCCCCCAATTGTCAACTTATTTTTGTCAATTCATTGTGTGCAATTTTGTATGTTTTTACAATAACAACATTTCATGATATTATTGCGTGCGTATGGGTTCCCAATAGATTGAATGCACAAGTCCGACAAAAGGTTAATAAAATTTATTCTTATCACAAGAAATTTAACAAAATCTTAGAAGCCTCCTCAGAGATATTCATACAATATCATGCAATATAATCAGTAGCTATAGTTTATTAGTTTTAAAACATTAAATAGAATGCAATTCACAGTGCAGAGAAAGTTAATCCAATCAACAAAATATTACAGCAGCTAAGTAAGCAACTGAATTGAACTGAGCTGTTCTCTCACTGAGCTTTTAAACCAGCCGTGCGAGATAGTTCCAGCAATTTCTGGAAAGCAAAAAGTGTAGAAATACGGTTACAGCTAACATAGTAGGGAATTACATTTATTCAATTTAAATATAAATTACAAAATTTTGATTTATTAAATGTTAAATGCATGTGCTCTATTTTTAATTTTCTGGCGTAGCTTTCTCTTAAAATATGTCTCGTGCTGCATTGCACAAAAAAATAAAGCAATTTTAATTATAATTCTTCTGGAAATATCTAACTAAATACAAAATTCATAACACTGCCTCCTTCCCAAGGACTGCATGTCCTGGGCAGTACAATCCCTGGACAAGAAAGCATACTTACAAATCCAAACCCTTACATCATTCAACCTAATTCAGAAGTCAAACAACAAAAATCAGCGTTATATTTACAAAATTTTTCACAGGACTAGTTTCGATGGTTTTACCGAACCACCATCCTCAGCTGCAAAACCGCAAAACATTCAAATTAATTATGGGTTTAATGTTGCCATCTCCCAGCCGGTCTTTCCCGACTTCTTTGTTACTCCATGGGTCTCAATCAGCCAATGTTGATGTTGTAATTTGTTGTGGGACTGGATTAAGCAGTCTTAATTCACTTCGACCCTGGAACAATATCGGCAGCTTTCTGGGTTAGGTCTTCTAGACAGGGCATGGGCATTTCCGTGTGATGATCCCTTCCGATGACTGATAGTGATGCCATATTCCTGAAGTCTCTGTATCCACCTGGCTATTTTACCCTCAGGATTATTGAAATTTAATGTTTGCAATCTCTAGTAGAGTCACAGATGCTGACCGACGTTTTTTCGGTCTAAAAAAGAATACTTGAAGTCTAACTTCACTAGTAGAAAAACGAAGATTTTAATTTACAAAAGCTTAATCTATAAAGCTTAAACATACTCTGTTAAGACCTGGGCAGTGACAGAGAAAGCTAAAAGTATCATTTCTGTCTTTGAAAGAAAAATTTTGAGAAGTATTTTTGGTGGCATAAAATGTAATAATATCTGAAGAAGAAGAACTAACTCTGAACTCTATAAATCCTTTAAAGAAGTAGATATAGTAAAATATATAAGGATTCAGAGAATTAAATGGGCAGGACATCTGTGCAAAATGGATGAAAATCGAGTAACTAAAAAGATCTTTTCGACCAGACAGCATCTGAAAAAGAGGGAGACCTAAACTTAGGTGGCTCGACTGTTTGGAAACAGACTTCAGAATTTTAAAAATAACCAATTGGATGTCCATGGCCAGGGATAGAAGAGCTTGGAATTCAATTCGGAGGAAGGAGAGGGCTCATCCTGGGCTGTCTGGCCATTGAAAAAGAAGAAGAAAAAGGATTATTGAAATTTAAAAGCCTGGTCAGTGATGCATGATCCATGCAGAGCAGGAATTTTCTATCATAGATATAATGATGGAAACGTTCTACGGCTTTAACTATGGCGAGCAACTCTTTCTTAGTGACAGAGTAATTCCTCTCCATTTTAGACAGGCACTTGCTCCAGTAAGCTATGAAACTTTCTTGGCTGTTTATTTCTTGGGACAAAAAAGCACCAACACTTTCATTGCTCGCATCCATGTCGAGAATAAACGGTTTGTCAAGCTGAGGGTACGTCAAGATTGGAGCAGATGTTAAAGCTTCCTTCAGGTTCTTAAATGCATCCTGACATTTGTTTGTCCACAAGAACTTTTGTTTGCTTTCTGTCAAATTAGGGGTCCTGCATTGGAATTGTACTGTGAAGGGGGTCTTGCGATGGAAGGAAAATCCTTCACGAATTTGTTCCTTGAAGTTGAGGGACCTTCTTGAAACTGATAGAATCTTCTATAAATCCAATACCATACATTGCATTAATTATGCTAACATTTAGATTTTTATATAAATATTAAAACTATTAGTATTAAATGAGTGAAAGTATTAACCCATTAATGACCTGAAGGCGAATCAATCGTATCAAAATTAGTTGCCATAGTTACTATGGAATCATCAATACATCGAACTACTGCAGTGTCATTGTCTTTATCAAATGCAGTGTCATATGTTCCACGTTCTTTTTTCATTTTGTTTACGGATACAATTTCCGTAAACAAATTCCATTTACAATTTCCTAATCTGTTCTCATGAGTTGTTCCACTGACATGAAATCCCAGCTCATTCAATTCTGAGAACAACCTGTGTGATGTAAAACAGTTGTCAAAATATACATAATGATTTGAAGGAACTTCCACCACATTTAAGAGATCTGTTAAGTCTCCACCTAGTCCAAGATCAGTTTATTTCTTTGCAGATTTTTCCGAGTATATACCAAAGTTATATAAATAGCCTTCATAGGAACACAAACACCAAACTTTGTATCCAAAATGAACGAGTTTTCTTTTGAGAAACATTTTGCATGAATGTCTACCAAAATAAAGTATCATCTGCTCGTCGACCAAAAGATGTGTTGAAAAAACTCCATACAGCATGAAATTTATATTTAAAATATTTAAATAGGAATGAACCTTAACCAGTTTATCAGTTTTATCCAATGCATTATTATCAGCTAAATGCAAGTTCTTGATATTAATATATGTAGAGCATGTCATTGCTATGCCTACTAATGGACGACCAACATCTTCATCAAGAGACCAGTAAAGTCTTTCTTGAGAAATTTCAATTTTTTTGAAATTGTTTCCTTTTTTGCCTTTTCTATGGATCCTTTGTTGCATCACTACATATACAGGAAATCAATTTTCATGTTCTTTCTTTTTTTAGATTTTTTGGAAATTTTTTTTTACAATTTTTAATAAATTTGATACATTTTAATATTTTTTAGGTGAAAAAATCTCGATTTCACCTGATACATCATTTGTTATGGACAAATATTTTTATATAAATATTAAAACTATTAGTATTAAATGAGTGAAAGTATTAACCCATTAATGACCTGAAGGCGAATCAATCGTATCAAAATTAGTTGCCATAGTTACTATGGAATCGTCAATACATCGAACTACTGCAGTGTCATTGTCTTTATCAAATGCAGTGTCATATGTTCCACGTTCTTTTTTCATTTTGTTTACGGATACAATTTCCGTAAACAAATTCCATTTACAATTTTGTAATCTGTTCTCATGAGTTGTTCTACTGACATGAAATTCCAGCTCATTCAATTCCGAGAACAACTGTGTGATGTAAAACAGTTGTCAAAATATACATAATGATTTGAAGGAACTTCCACCACATTTAAGAGATCTGTTAAGTCTCCACCTACTCCAAGATCAGTTTATTTCTTTGCAGATTTTCCTGAGTATATGCCAAAGTTATATAAATAGCCTTCATAGGAACACAAACACCAAACTTTCACCCTCATAAATTCTAATGCTTCATTTAATGTCAAAAACTGTTGTCTTGAAAATCCATTACTTTGGAATTGTTGTTTTGTGAAATTTAAAAAAGAAAATATCACTAGCTATGAAATTTGTCTACATTCATAGAAATACTGCTTTGAACTGACATTGCATTTCTGCAACATTTTAAAAGATGCATATTTATTCTAACAAAGACAAAATAATAACCTTCCCTTTTGACGCTATTTTATCATCTAATGATTCTAGAAGACTGTCATGTGTTCATAAAATCATTTGATTGGTTGCACCCTCTATGAGATGTACTCAGAATTAAAAGAAAACGTTTTGCAAAAAAAAGTACCAAAATGATCTTTTATTTTCATAAAACGTTTTTAAAAAAGAGGAATAATTTTCCCTCCACAAAACATTGAAACTTTATCTACAATATACAAAAGCAATAAGGGAAATTTTTTTAAATAGAAGATGGGAAGAAAAAATGTTTTGACTAATGTCGCAAAACAAAAACAAGTCATTAATGGGTTAATATATGATTTTGCGTTGTTGTGATGTTAAAATGTATTTACATTATAGTTAATGCAATGTAAATGCTGTTTAAAACCAGAAAGATTAATTTTTATACTTATCAAAAGGAGATCAAATTGTCTTACAGAAACAGTAACTATTAATTATTGAAGGCTAAAAGCCAGGCCTTTTTTTTTATTCTCTGAAGCTTCCATTAACATTTGTATGTTAATATTAATTTTTTCTAGTTTTTAGATTGTGTAACATCAAAATCTGATGTCATACATCCTCCTGAACTTCTTACACCTTCAAATATTTTAAGTGATGAACAAATTCTTGAGGTAAGATAAGTTTCTAGCATGTAATAAATGTATAGCTATATTTTTAATAGAAATTTTAATAAAATATTGTAAATTATTTTAGTTCTTTAGTATCTTTAGGATGATACCGGTATTTTCTGATTGTCTGCTTGACTGTTTCAACGTACATTAAAACTGCTCTGTTTTTGACACATTTTAGAGCACACTCACACATAGTAGCCATCCCATGCATATACATACTGCACACATTTTAAAATCATACTTGATCAGTATTCATGACCTGTAATTGAAGACTTATAGCTGAATGATACCCATTAACTGTAAAAATGTAAATATTGGTCATATACTTTTTTGGGAAGGCAGGTGTCATATTAAAGCACAACTGATCTGCACTTAAGTTCAGCTAGTCCACAGCTTTCATATTCTGTTCTACCACAGCTAAGGGACCCAGAGCCGCCCATCAGAACATCACCCAAAGTATAATATTGCCATCACCAGCTTGTGTATGATCATCTGCACAGGGGCAGAGGAGCAACTGAGAAATTGTGATTCATGCGACCAGGCAACTCTTCTTCTTATCCATGGTCCAATCTTGATGTTCCCAGGCCCACTCACTGTAGACACAGTTGACAGTGACACTTGGTCAACAGAGGCACACAAGTAGGATGTCTGCTGTGCAGTTTCATATCCTACAGTGTCTGCTGAACTGTGTGTTCTGAAACACTTGCACTTGGACTTGCATTGTATTGGGCTATCAGCTGAGCCACTGTCTGACACTGATTTTGGAATACCAAATGGGACTGTCTCCAGTGCTTTTTTTCTTTGATGATGCATGGACATTCAACACCTCGGTGTCTACTGCTGGTTTCACTATTATTTATTGACTTTCATAAATACTAACAATGGTAGATTGTGAGCAACCCACTATTTGTGCAGTTTTGAAAATACTTGTTCTGAGTCTTCGGGCCATTACAGTCTGCCCTCTATATCAAATTCACTAAGATCAGCAGCCTTTCTCATCACTCACAAAAATAAGTGCAAGAATGATTTCTTATCTCCTCCAGCAACAGTTAAATACTATTCCCATTTAATCACATGCCCTTCATGTCATTCAGATGAGTTCATTGAAAAATGTGAGGATGGTCATAATGTTTTGGCTCGTCAGTGTATTAATGTTTGCAGTTAATCTTTTAATCTATTATTTATCCTTAAGCTAGACTGCAGCTTTTAGAACATGATTTGTTTGTTTTATTTCTAGTTTAAATTATCCATTTAAAAAACAGCATCCTAGGATATATTATGGGAAAACAATTAGTAGGAGAATGTGAAAGAAAGGTAATTTGCTTCTTGAGTATTGATCTTAAACTGTTAAATAATAGGATGAGGTGAGAACCTTTTTACACTTTTATGAGGTATTTAAAGAAATCTTGGAAATAGTGGTATTTGAGATAGTTATAACATTTAATAATATGTTATTTATTTTATTTTTACTAATCATGTTTAGTTTATTCTCATAGTAATAACATATGTGAACTCAGTTTATTAATAAAGGTTGAATGCATGATCATGGTGAGGTATGCATGGGTAACACATGCCTAAAAGAGGATCGATAGCATTAACTAGACAAACAGCAATCTTAATTAAAATAGACATATAGCAATTACTAATCAAATTTAATAGTAAAAAACAACATAGTTGCTGGCACTAAAACAGCCTTAAAAATATAGAAAACGGCCCAGCATAGACACAGATACTGGGGTTCATATATCCCGGAGAAGCACAGACTGCAGAAGGAAAACTCGTCCCTCTCCGTTAGCCTGTAATGTTGTCATACAGGTTCAGACTGTCTTTCACCAACTGCAGCTTTCTGTACGGTTTTGAGCTATCACCTGTTTGGCGATGCCGCTGCAATGGCATTATGTGTTTGATGTAATATTTTAGAGTGTCTAATAATTTATAATATTATATTAAGAAATTTCTACGTGTATACTATGTCATGCAGTTGAGAATACTGAATATCATATTTTATATCACCTATTATAAAATCGTATTGAATTATATAATGCTATAATATTGTGCTATTTTAGTTAAGTTTTATTATTAGTTAAAAGTAAAGTACTTTTTAGCTTGAAAGGTAATGTGATTAGAAAAGTAAGTTTGACTAAAAGTATAAAAAAACTCATATGGTACAGAGGCTGAGGTCTAGACTCATCAGAGTGCCTTTAAGAGAATCCTTCAAGAATGCCTTTAAGAAGACTAAGAAGCCAATCAACAGCTCAGTGGGTTTGAATGAGTCGTGTAATAGGGCTACGAGAAGGTGGATTTTCTTTCAATGATATTGTAGAAAGACTTGGCAGGAATGTATCCATTATTCATAATTGTTAGCAGCAGTGGTCAAGGAAGGTATTGGCTCAAGAAGACTTTGTTCTAGATGGCCATGTGGTGCCACTGAGAGGAAAGATCGCTGTGTTCGGTGTATGGCTGTGTTACATAATACTGCGTCTGCAGCAGAAATTCAAGCTGCAGTTGGCACCACAGTGATATAACAAACTGTTACAAATCGGTTACTTGAAGGACAGCCCCGAGACAGATGCCCTGTAGTGTGCATTTGACTGACTCCATGCCACTGTTGTTTGTGATATCAGTGGTGTTGAGGGTTACAGCCGAAAACATTGCGGCAAAAGCATCTCGGATGAAAATGTCGTGGAGAAAACAACACAAGGAAGAAAGGTTGTGGTACAAAACATCATGGGAGAAAAGAAAGCAAAGAGAAAATCTCGCAGTTCTAAAACATCGTGGTATGAAGTATTGTGGTCGAAAATAAAGCTGTTAAAAAACTTCGCAGTTTAAAAACATCATCGTTGAAAATATTGTGGTAAAAAAAAAAAACCTACAAATCATCGCATGATGATAACATCACATACATACGCATTTCAGGTTTTAAAAGTTGTAAATCCATATTCGCATAAAGATTTGGAAGCAGAATAAATGTTAACAACACTTTAGGAATAAACGGAAACAAAACAAGGTGTAATTTTCTCCAAAGGAATATCAGATTAACTAACATGAAAGAAAGTAATTTGACAATTCACTAAGTAATTTTTATAGCAGTAACCTCATGCAGTTAATATTTTTGTGCTGCATTTTTCATGAAAATTTGTGAGTAAAATTTTGTAAAAAAGATTAATTTATTAATGACCTTTGTTAATTAACTATATAAATTCAAAATTCTGTTAAGTGCTATAGGTTACATTCATTTTCAGTTTTTAAATGCTCAGATTTCCTTCTTGCTTCTTCAGAAAAAATTATTAGGTCATTCAAAAATGTGAAATATAAAAGTAAAAATATCCCTCTTACCTTTTTGCGCTCCCAAATCATTATGCGAAAATGCATTTACAACTTTTAAAACCTGAAAATGCATATGTGCAATGTTATCATCATGCGATCATTTGTAGGTACTTAATTTTTTACCATGATATTTTTGACAACAATGTTTTTAAACTGTGAAGTTTTTGAACCTGTTTATTTTCAACTACGATATTTTGTCCCCATGATGTTTTAGAACTGCGATGTTTTCTCTTTGCTTTCTTTTCTCCCACGATGTTTTCTACCATGACGTTTTTGTGCAGCATTGTTTTCTCTGCGACGTTTTTGTCTATGATGTTTTCAGTGGACATCATGCCGAGGAGGACTGCAGTGGATATCTGTTGTGTTTTCTGAGGAAAGCTAGACCTGCCTTGGCACCAATGATGGCTGTGTGTTTGTTAGAAGAAGGCCAAGTGAGCACTTGCAATAAAGCTGTCTGTGGCCTAGAAGCACTGGACCTACACTGGAGTTATGGTTGGGGGGGCAATTTCATGTAACCGCAGGAGCACTCTCTTGGTTATCCCATGCACCGTGGTTGTAAATTTGTATGCAAGTCTGGGGGTTTAACCTGTTCAGTTCCTGCCATTCATGAAAGCATTTAAGGGTCTGTTTTCCAACCAGATAATGCATGTCCTCATATTGTTGTTGTAACCTAACATGCTCTACAGAGTGTCGACATGTTACCTTGGCCTGCCAGATCACCAGATCGTTCTCCAGTTGAACACATATGTTTCATTATTGGACGACAACACCAGCATCATCCACAACCAGCATTAACCATTCCTGTTGACCAAGAGCAACAGGCATAGAACCCCACCCCACAAACTGACATCCAGATGAATCGTTGCAATGTTTGCATGCTTTTATTCAGAGTTCTGGTGATTACACCGGTTATTAATGTACCAACATATCATGTTTGAAATGGCTCTTTCTGTGCATATGTTAACCTGTGATCTTGAAGATTTAATCAATTAAATATGTCACAGAGACAAATGTATTGCTGAAATTTCATTACGTTACATTAATTTTTCTGTATGCTGGAAATTTTTTTTTATGTCAGCATAAAATGGGTTTATTCAAGTTTTGGTATTTATCAACATTTTCTACACTTTTTGTTGTTTAATTTATAAAACACGTTAAAAAGCCATCTAGATAAATGTATATTTTTCAAGTTTTTGGAAAGGGAGCAATGATATTTTAGCAGTGGTGAGAGGGATGCATGGGGTACAAAAGGTTAAGAATCACTGTGCTAAGCTGTCGAGACAAAAACAATTACGTAGATGTAAGTAAACACACATAATTTTTCATTTTGATCTTTTAAATTGCATTGTAAAATTAATTTAGCCACTTTTTTTAACATGATGCTTTACGTAAAAGGGCTGTTTGATAAGTCTGGTTGTTCATATTCATGAATGAAGTAAACTTTTTAGCAGGTGAAACAAAAGGAGTGGGAGAGGAATGAGTTCTATTCAATGATTAAGCATTTTTATTCGAAGAAATTGATGGCCTCTTAAATCCTTAAATTTCAATGGAATTCTGCATCAGATTTTAAAACCGTTTATTTCTGAGTAAATATATTTAAATATGTTTGAAAATGCAGTTCAGGCTGTGGAAACCTTGATGAATCACCCATAACTAATATTATTTTAAACTTCCTGATACCAGTATGGAAAATCTGCAAAAGAAAGTTTTTTTGACTGAAGTTGTAAGCATATTTAGATGAATGAGTATGCAATATCTTACACAAAAAATTATACATGGAAAGCTGTGTGCATGATGGAAGCAATAATTATTGCCTGTTAGCCGAAAATTTACGTGAACTGACTTTTCAAAGGATTGTGTAGAGATGTTTAGTTGCAATCTACAGAACTTCTGCATTGCTTCATGACTGTGGATAAAAGATGGCTTCATCATTGCACTTCTCTGTAAAGCAGTGGGGGATGAGTGATGAAAGTGGACTGAAAAAGAGGAAAATGATTTCATTTGCTGGCATGATAATGACCATATTATTTGAATACTTCCAAGGAATCATCATATTTAATTACTTGGAGAAGGGGAGAAAAACAGTAACAGAAGCCTACCGTGAAACTTTAATAGAGCATTTGAAAACAGAACTTAAGAAAAAAGAAAGTTAAAAAAATGGCTAAGTTTGATCTATAGAAAAGTGCTTTGTTACCAAGATATTGGAATGGTGAGTTTCACAAATTGACAGTTGACAAAGATGCTTGAATTAACATTCAAATCCATTTCTTATCCATCCTGTTCTCCAGACTTCACCTCGAGGACTTCTTGTACACAAAATTAAAAATTTGGCTGAATGGGAAGAAACTCTGTATGAATCATGATGTCATTGTGACTGCCAGTGTATTTTGCAATCTTTACCAAAAACTGCTTTTCTAATGGATTCAAAAGTTGCAAACACATGACTAAATGCTATAATCTCAAATGGAAACTGTCAAAATATAAAATAATCCTCTCACAAGAACCACCAGTGGGCAAAAGTTTTCTAAATGCTGGTATTTGACCTGGGTTCGAACCCTGCTGAATAGGCTGGTTGTGTGTTATGTTTTTGTGGTTTTTTCCACATGTAACATGACAATAAGCCAGTTTCTCTTTCAAAGTATCTCTTTCCTAAGGCAGATAGATCTGATGTGCTTTGTGATAGTAAGATAACCTAACCTAAACCTGACCTCTCCTCCCAACAAAAAGCAATATTTAACCTGCTTTTTTATCATGCTTATCAAGTGATCCTTCTACAGATGATATGTACTATATTTTCAGCTTTTTATGAAGTATTTTATTTTGTATAGCTGAATAAGCATATGCCTGCTCGTGCAATGAACCCATGGGATCTGATATATGGTACTGCTGTTCATGGATTTAGCCTTAAAACTATGTATCGTAATATGACAAAATTTGATAGTCCTGTTCTCCTCGTTATAGCCAACAGAAGTAATATTGTAAGTAATGCTTTTATTATTAAGCATAATAACATAGTAAACATATGAATTTTAGATCATTCAATATTTATTAGACATTGGTGTAGCAATAGTATTCTACAAAAAGCATGCAAATAAGTATAATGTGTTTCATATTGAATGGCATGAAAAGAATAGCATAATACAAATTATGTAATTTATTTATTAAGCTTAAACAAATTAATTCATAGTACAAATTCTGTAATTCATTCATTAAGCTTAAACAAATTAATTCTGAAACTGCTATTATACAAGTTTTATTTGGGAATAGCAAAAAATTTTCTGGTTATGAAATCCCCTGCTAGAGACAGTGTTAATCAAAATGGCACCATGCATGCAGAAGGAAGTGTACTGTGTTTTGGAATACACCAAAACATCATTGTTTATCATATTTCAAAAAAATTTTTGCGTGAAATTTTTGTTAAGAAGCACTGCATTGTCACAACATTGAATGGTAGGTGAAGAAATTTCAGAACATGGGCTGGTTGTGTAAGAAAACCAGCCCAGGATGAACAGCAGCCCAAACTGAAGTGATTTAAAAATGCATGAAACATTTTTACGAAGTTCCACAACATCAGTACATCATGCAAGTTCTGAACTCATTGTACCTCATGTAATGGTGTGCCATATGTTACGTAAACATCTACAGTTCTGGCCATACACCTTTTAGATAGTACAGGCGTTTAAACCTTCTGACAAACTGTTGCATAAAGCTTCCTGTGAGAATTTGCAAGATAAGATGGAGTTAGATGGCTATGAGAACAGACTTGTGTTTATGTATGAAGCCACTTTTTATGTTCCTAAGCTAATTGCCAAAATTTATGATTTTGCAGTACGGAAAATTCCACATGGTGTAATGGAACATTAGCGTGATTTGCCGAAGGTGAAAATTTTCGGTGCCATTTCCAACAGTTGCGTTTTTTTGTCCTTTTTTCTTTGTGGAAAAAAAATGAATTAACGGGTTGGATATACCAATATATGCAGTCATAGTGGTTGTTCCCTCAGTTGGAGGAAGCAGTTCCTGGCTTCATTCTGTAGTGAGAAGATGCTCCATCACATGGGCTTAAAAACATGTGCCAGCATCTGAATGATAGTCTATCCCATCATAGGTTTGGCTACGCTGGGTCAAATGATATACCATTGCTTTGTTGGCCACTGAGATTCCCAGATCTAACTTGTGAATTTTTCCTATGGGTTTTGTTGAAGACAAAGTGTTCATACCCTATTTTCCCAGGATTTACAGCAAGAAGCAGTGGATAACTCGAAGTGTTTGAATCATTAACAAAGGGTGTTCTATCATGAGTGTGATAGGAACTGGAAGATTGCTTAGATATTTGCCTTGTCACCAAACGGGCACACATAGAACATCTGTAGAAACTTGGATAGCTGTACTTTCACTGTAAATTTGATATATCAATATAAAGTAATTAGAACATTAGTAGGTATGCTTTCTTTTTGTCCCATTCAATATGAAATACTTTGTATTTTATTGTGAATAAATGTTTTCATTTAGAAGATGCACTAAAATGGCAAAACAGGTTTTGAGTATTTCTTTTCAATTATTATTAATTTTTTCTTAGGATCCTAAAATATTTTTTAACATAATAGATATTAATTATTTTAAAAGTAGATTTAATTAACTTATTTATAAAGTTGTTTTTGTAGTTCTCAAAAATCTTTCATGTACTTTTCTTTTTTAAAATATCCAACATCAATCACATTTTAAATGTTTAGCTGCTTATCACATGTGTTTTGGTATCTTTTGAATAATTTTGTTTAGTTATTGTATAATTTATCATGATATCTGTTTTTTTTTTTTTTTTTTTTTTTTTTTGTGAATTTTTAATTGGATACTTTCGTATTCTCATTGATTGCAAATCTGTCACCAAGTAGTATAATTTAGCAGTAATTATAGATAAGTGCGATGTAATAAGACACTCGTAACGTAGCATGACCGGCTTTATTGAGTCATGAGATTTTTTGACACTTGATATATATTAGCTTATAATTTGAGATATTTTGATTTCTCACTTTCTTGGCTAATATAAATGTTATCTTCATGAATGTAAGTTCATGAAAATACAGACTAAACTGAGTAAATATACAAAGTTAGCTAATAAATGCTGTTTAAATACAGGTCTTCATGACAGATCCAAAAACCTGTGTTTCTCAGAGGGTTAATGAATAAGGACATTAATTAATTATTGTTGCTGTATTTTTTATATATATTTTGAAAAAAAAAATTATTAAAACTTGAGACCTGCATTCTACAGAATAGAAAACAATATCCAAGTTATGGGGTCTTATCATAAAAAAAAAGTGTCCATTAATTACCTGATATGGCTGACAAAACAGTAGTAAATTGGAACAAATATCTGCAGGAAGTTTGCACTCATAACATTGCAAACATAACTTCTGGCAAAATTGGAGAGCCTAAAAGTAGTAGAAATTGATGAGATCCTTTTTGTGAAGCAGGTTGTGGACTGATAATTTGTTAGATGAAGAGGCAGCAATTCCATTTGAATTTCACAGGAATGATTGGCAGAATCTCTGTTGACTTTCATGGTTGATGGGATAATGCATAAATTTCTTTAATTGTTTTAGTTTTATTTGAGAGTAGCGACTTCAATATAAGAAGCTTTATTTTGATATAGTACAAAGTCCGTAATCCGGGCATCCATTATCCGGAATGATCTATAATCCGGATCTATAATGCGCATGTCCGCTACGCATGCGTGTAAAGCATTTACCCATGCATGCTTCCAATAGTGAACAAAGTGACAAACAGGTTATTGAAAACGAAAAAATTTCGATTCACAAGTTAGTCGATATTCTCGACACAGCAATTACAGGACTAGAACAGTGGAACTTTGTAATTGAACAAGAAATTATGTCTGTTTATAGAATTAAAGAGAAATTATTAGCACAAAAAACAAAAAGCAACTTAAACTGAAAGAAATGTTTAATAAAGTAAACAAATAAATTTTAAGCTTTTTTTTTTTTTTTTGTAAATTTTGATACCCTTTAGATCATAATTGCTGTTTATTTCATAAATTACGGTTTCATATTTTTTATTGTATAATTTCTGCATGCCATCTTACCAGATTTAAATTGATTATCTATAATCCGGAATCGCCGAAGTCCCGACGAGTCCGGATTACGGACTTTGTACTGTACAAACTTAATATTTTCTATTACTGATTTTTCAGTGTTTTTATTGTTAACTTTATTTGCTAATTGATATGATAAATATTTTAAACAAAGTTTATTCATTAATTCCACATAAATATGTGTTTTGATTTCTGTAAGTTTCCTTATAATCAGTCGTTTTCATTGTGCATACAATAACCCTGATAATTGTCGGTATCAGTGCAGATTAGTTCATGCTTGATAAACTTCGTTAAGTTGCAAATTCTTGATTTTTATTATATGTCTTTCATAGCTTTTGATGACCTAAGTTATTAAAATGCATTTTAATATTTAATTCATGATTTAAATACAGTAGAATCTTGCAAACTCAATATAATGGGGACTGAGAGATTGTCGAGTTTTATGAAATAAGAGGTGGGTTTTTCAGAACTCTTAATATTTAACTGTAAATTACTCTAGATGTTTGTAGCACAATATTGGGCATGGAAAAGTACAACATACAATTAAATTAATGGTGATTTTTTATGTCAAGTTCTACCATAGTAGGAGTCATAAAAAGAACAAATACCCTAAGATAATTAAGTAAAAAAACTTCACAAAAATGAAGAAAATTATTATTAGTTCTTGGTACAAAAATATCGTGTGATTGTTGATTGTCTCTTACAGTCATTCCAAGGAGCAAACAGCATTTTCAAGAGTTATAACATATCTTGAAATTTGTTAGGCAGTTCTAAGAATTAGTGGCACAATACGAAAGCGGCAAAAATTACAGGAAAAGAACACTCAAATCTTTGAACAGAACAGAAAAGACATATGCATAAATAATTATATGTACTGTATGTAATATTTGCTGTACTTGCCCTAGAAATATCTTAAAAAAGTTCCTAAAAAGTTGTTGGGTTAGTCTGAATGTTGAGACATAGAGTGTCAAGTTTGCTGGACTACTGTAATACTATTTAATAAATTATTTATAATATTAAGCAAATAATCATGTAACATTTATGTTAAATTTTTTCTTAATAGTTCCTTTTTCTATTTAGATTTTTGGTGCATTGCTTTCATCTCCACTTCGAATGAGTGACCACTTCTATGGCACTGGTGAATCATTCCTTTTTACTTTCTTTCCAGAATTTAAAGTAAGTCGATAAGATTTACCTTTTTATGTATCATGTTTAATATTTGGAGTTCTGTAAAAGCTTTGAAAGCTAGCAGGAAATGATCAATTAAATACTACCAAAAATATGAAAGATTTAATTGTTTGGAAAATGTCTTGTTACTTCGTAAAATCGAGGTTTTAAAGCAGTTTGAGATATAAATATTCAATGATCCTGTTAGATAAAGATGTATAGTGCAAAATTTAATTGAATGAGTCCTTTTTAATGTATTAGATTGCATGCTACATTGATTTTGCAGTTATGTGAAATATTGTCAAAACAGCATTTAAAGAACAAGTTCATTCAAGTAGTCTACCAGTCATATCTTTCATAAATATTGTGAATATAGCAAAAGTAATTTTACTTTGGAGATACCTAGTAAACTACATTTTTTAGTTCTTACCCATTATGCTCTTGTGTCCACTAACTTTCTCAGGCAATAAATAATTTTACAGAAAACATAAATTTATGTAATTATTATATGAATGCAAAGCCTATGATTTTACCTTGTGAAGCTGTTAAAAATGAAAATTGTTATATTAATGCAATTAAATTAGTATTAAAATAGATTAGATACTTGTAAAATCCTGATAATTCTAATACTCAGTTTCTTGTTAATAAAGGCAGTGAGGTCCATAAATTGAAAATCATATGTAATTTTATAGGCAGTGTTTTGTGAGAAAGGAGAATGTTGAACATACTTCATGCTAAGATAATCACTAGTTTGGAAGAAGTGTTTAAAGTATAAGTGTTAAAGCATATATATTTACTTTTAGTTTGCTTTAATGGGGGAGAGAGTATATAGGTACAAAATGCCATTTTTAGTTCTTGGCAAAGAAATCAGAATGGGGAAAAAAGACTACTCTAATGATGAGGTATGCCAGTTGGCATTCTAAATAAAATATTTGTTATCTGTCGGGGAATTTCAGCTTGCATTTTATGTCAAGTAATGTTACCCAAAGTGAGTGCTTTTACTGTCACAAAAACATGCAAATTCTGAATTTAAATCTATTGGGTCAGTCCATAAATTCGTGCACATTTTTTGGTAAATTTTTAAATAATATATAAAACACATTTTAATCAATTATATATTTTCCTCCATTATCTACAATGTCTCACCATCTTACAGGCAGCCTTTGTATGCCATTGCTGTAGAAAAGACTCTGGTTTTGATGCAAAAAAAATTTGAAAGTTCATTGTGTACATCTTGTTTAGAATTTAATTTTTTTTCCAGCAAAAAATTGTGTAAGGCATGAAGTAAGTGAAAATAACTTGGGGCAATATCTGGGGAGTAAGCAGGATGTGGCAAAAGCTCCCAATTAAATTCACTAATTTTATGCAGCGTTGTTTGAGCCGTATGCGGTCTAGCGTTATCATGATGAAATGACATTTTCTTAATATTCACCAATCGTGGGCGTTTTTTGATCAATTCTGAGTTTAGACGGCAAAGTTGTTCATTATAAACTTCTGAATTAATCGTTTGATTTGGTTTTCTACAGTTCAAAACTTCCTGAACGGGGTTCATCATCAATGCTGCTTTTTCCAATTAAAAATTTTTTAAACCATTTCTGGGCAGTCCTTACACTAATAGTGTGTTCACTATGTACACTTAATTTTTATTGCTGCAAACTTGGCAGATTTACCACACGAAAATAAAAAATGTAGCACAGCATGTTTGTACTGATTATCTATATCGTTTCCTATGGGTACTAAAATGCATTCGATATTTACGAAAGTTGGTGATGAACTGAATAATATGCTAGTCAAATGATGACAAGTTTCAACAGGTTCAAAATTGTATTGTTTTAGTAAATGCATCATAGTGAATTCCACGCATACTCTTAATGCACACGAACTTATGGACTGACCCTATATATCTCACTCAATTTAATTTAATAGTTGCGGTAATTAAAAGCAATGAGGAATCATCTTTCCATTTTTTGAAAATGCTCTTATTCACATAAAGCCCCAACTGCCTTCTCCTTATATAATATGTAAATAATATCTGAATGTTATATGAGAAAATAAACTTGAGATAGACTATCATATAATTTTTGATTGTTTAATAACATGAGTTTTAATTTTTCTGTAAAATGAGTTTAAATGATGCATATTTCTGTGTAAACGTGAGAACTTTTGTTGCAAAATCTGTAATAAAATTTTTTTTGTTTATTAATTTTTATACAGTTTATTATATATGGTGTGCCATGAACTATGATATGGTTTCTTATATTTAGATTTATCATTGGTCTGGAGAAAATAACTACATAATGAAAGGTAATACAAACAGTTTTGTCATAGGATCATCTGAGTAAGTACACCATGGTTTGATATGAAATGGTTACTTTTGTTGCAAAAGGATCTTAAAACTAATTGAGAATTTTATTAAATTTTAAATTAAATATCTAATTATATATTTTAATTCTGTTATGTTTTTCTGAAGTAATTATATATTTTAATTTTGTTGTTATTATTTTTTTTGTAATGACGTGTATTTAAATTAAGATCTAATTGATTTCCAATATGTTGACATGCTTGCACTGACAGTAGTTATGTTTTGCAAAATGCTTGCCATTCATCCACCTTGATGATAGAAATTAAGGTAATTCATAAGTAAAATGATTGTATTTTATGTACTCTAGAACTGCTTTAAATTTATTGAATATTTATAATAAAGAAGGGTGGAGTAAGAACGGAGAAAATATTGTTTTTCTGATTAAGTTTATCCTTGTAGAGTAATATTGATTATTCTAGCCAAAATAGTCCCAAAATGAATGACTGAAGTTTAAGTGAATTTTTGTCAACTGAGAGAGTTGAGTTAAATTGGATTGACGATGTATTAATGGAAAACCCTATGCAAGTCATGGATGCAAGGGCAGCATAAAATAATTTTGTACTGCAGTGTTCAGTAATAATAACTTTAAATTTTGGATTTCCTTACGTTCCATGATGAGACATTGAGCATTTAATACACACAACCAAAACCTGTATTGTCATTACACATTAATTGTTATTTATTGGTAATATGCTATCATAATTTTCCGTCTTATACATCATTATACATCTATAATTGATAATGGTTATTGGAATAAAAAAATTACTTCATAAAATTGATTTACTGTTTTTCCCTAAGAGGATCAAATTTGCAAATTAAATGATTGTTAAAAGTGATATTAATGCTTGCAAATTTGTTGGTTATGCTTAATATTTTTTAAAGCTGTATATATATATATATATATATATAGTTAAAAGAACATTCCTAGTTCGTACGCTAAAAAGTTGCTTAAATACTGTGGTTCCGTGAAAATATTAACATAAGCAAAATAAGGTGCAATGAAATGTTTTACATAGAGGGGGGGGGAAATACAAACACTTGAATATTTACAAATAAAAATCAATACTAATAGTAAGCAATATGCTAACAGAGTAAGGTATATTTAAAACATTAGATTAAAGTATGACCAAATGATTTAAGCAAAAATATAAAAACTAAGAAGCGGTAAATGGTAGATTAGCCTAATTCAAATCTCGTTATGGCTGTTCAGGGAAATTATTTTTTAATGAATTCCGAATCAAGCTAACTGCATATCGCATTTCTCCGAAACAGACATATGAAACTGTACTCAAAACACTTTTTATAAATTAATTGAAAAACTTTGCCAAAATCTTTAACTCAATTCTCTGTTCCAATTTCCCGACACGTCCGCTTGAAGAAACACATTAACACAAGTTTTTCTAATACATGCGGAATAGCTGCAAAGTAAGATAATAATAATTTATTTACTAAAGAAATATTGATTATATAATCTCCTAATATAAATTTAGTAGAATGTATCTAAATGAGGGAACCCATAAGTAGGAAGTTTAATTTTGAAAATTGTTTTAAAGTTTTTGTAGAAAAACTTTTAAACTTAAAAATAAGAAGCGGAGATAATATATGAGGGTAACGCATTAAAAAAGATAAATAGTGCTAATAACTGCTATTTAGCGTATCAAATATTGAATGATCTAAAATTCATTGAATTTGAAAAAATTTTTTCTAGTACTTGCGCAATAGCTGCAAAGTAAGATAATAATAATTTATTTACTAAAGAAATATAAAATGTTATATATCTGTTAGGGCAAGGTGTCCCATAAATGTTGCGACAAACTTCAGGGGGAGGTAGGGCACATTATAAGGATTAAGAATTTCATAGGAACCCATGCACAGAAACGTCACTGTACGCCTCCAGGGGGTGCCGAACAAGGAAATGCTAGTGGAAAGTGAGGATTGCCTCCTTCAAGTGGTAGGCACGAAAAGCATGGAACGCTCTACAAACGTAGAGCTTGCAGACATGCACTTAGTGTACAGCATAGCTTAGGGTAAGCCACTGCACACATTTATCAAGAACGTTTCTCAAACAAACATCAACCACACTACAATTTGCATGTGTGCATCAAAATTTGTGTAACTATGGGTCATTAAGAAGTGGCAGGACAAGTAAAGGCAAGCTATGATCGACTTCCTCAGTCGTTAGGGTAGAAAGTGTGTTGGATATGGTGAAGAGTAATCCAAGGACCAGTATACGTGCCATTGCCTCTCAATTAAGAATGTCTCATACCAGCGTCCAGCATGCCTTGAACGCCGAGTCCTTACATGGTTTTTGTCTCTAAAGGGTTAAGTTACTGCTCCCGAACGACCATCTTTAATGTGTGCATTTCGCACACATTAAGGAAAACTTTATGTGCAGAAACCACACATTAAAGTGATTTCTGCAAGAAAGTGCCCATGATGTTAATTTCCCACCTTATGTGTTATTCACAGATGAGGCCATATACAAATAGGGATGGCATATTCAATCACCACAATTAGCATTTGTGGGCTCATGAAAACCCCCACCGTATGTGACACCACACGGCACAACAACACTTCAAAGTTAATGTGTAGGCTGGACTGGATGTTCGTAGCCATTAGAACAGATCATTCCCTTTATGGATTGGATTGGGTGGACCGATTCCTTTATCTCCAGGCTCACCGTATTTATCGAGCCTCGATTTCTTTTTGTGGAGAGCCGTCAGAAGTGTCTTATTTCATGATCCTGTTATGTCTGAAATGGATCTTGTGGCAAGACTTGCCTGCACACATGTTACACTCAAAGAAACTCCTGGTGTGTTTTGAACTTGTCCAGCAATCAATGGTCCGTCGGTGTCAGGCATGTTTGGCCTCTGATGGTGCAAACTTCAAGCATCTGTTGTAACATTCAAGTTGTCGTACACAATTTGTATTCATGTCCAATAAATGTTTGAAATTAATCACTCTCTTGTTTCCTTTCCCATCTTATACCTTTGACATTTCTGGGCTTGGGTTCCTATGAAATTCTTAATCCTTATGATGTGCCCTACCACCCCCTGGAAGTTTGTCACAACATTTACGGGACACCCTGTATATATAGCAAAATATGTATGTATGTATATATACATCTATATACATATGAATGTATATATATACATCTATATACATGTAAAATATAAAAAATACATTGGTTTTGCTCTACGCGAACAGGCAAACTCTAATTAACTTTCTGCAATTTAGGATCTCCTCCTAGACCAGTACCTTCAAGAACATTCTAGCCTATTATGTAATGGCTACTATAAATAACAAATGTGCACCATTTTGTGGACAGAAGCTTCCCTCTCCCTGTGCTGTTAAAACCTATGCTGCTGCTCCCATTTTCCTTTCCTCTACGACACAGTAAATTTAAAATAATCTTATTTAGTAATGAATAGTGATCTACTTCTGAAATTGAAATAAAGATATGGAATAGTATAAAGTGAAATCAAATCCTGTGTATCCTTTGGATACTGCCTTAACACTCTGCTACAGAAATGCCTGGACTTTGATGCCAAGCCTCATCATTCATGTGCCACATGTGGCACATGACACTACTGTGGTTATGTGATCATGACACTCTGTGCACAGAGTGTCATGATGTTATCCTCTGTACAGTAAAGATGTACTGTGATCATGACACTCTGTGCCACATGATCAGTTATTTAATTTATGTATGTGTATATATATATACACACATACATATTATGTATATGCGCTCTTAAAAAAATTGAAACACCAAGAAGGACTTTTGCGATCGTGACGAAATGTGGTATGCAGAAATATCTTGATCGAACATGCAAATGATCAAAGTTTCAAGGCAAATGAACAGGAATTGTGATCATAGCGTGTATTTCTAGAGCATAATTTTCAAAGTATAAAACCAGTAACAGAGGCAGAAAATTTATCTTTTTTGTTGCTGCCATTGTAATTCTGTAAAGAAGCAACTAAAGATGCCATTACGACGATATCGAGGACCTTAGGCAACTAAATGACTTAGAACCTGGTCGCATTGTAGAGTTGCATTAAGCTGGGTGGTCATACTGAGCAATAGGTCGCCACCTGCAGCGTACAGACACTGCTGTGCAAAGATGTTGGCAGCAATGGTTGCTACAAGGAAATTGCCGATGAGATGAAGGCTCTGGAAGGCCAAGGAGCACTAGTGTGAGACAAGATAGGATGATTGTTCGCCAGGCCCGAACCGCCCCAAAGGTATCATTGTCGACTATTCAACGCACTACAGCCACATCTGTACCTCCCTTTGTACTGTCCACCATCTCGCGGATCTTGTCCGAGGCGGGGTTATGCTCGCAGTGGCCTTTAAGACATTTGACCCCACAACATTGGTGGAGTCGTCTGGAGTGGTGTCGCAGCCGATCATCATGGCTGCCATCAGACTGGCATCGTATAGCGTACAACGATGAATCCCACTTCACTTTTGAAGCAGATGACCACCGTGTTCTTGTCTGGAGAGGACCAGCGGTCCCAATCAGCCTTTGTTTTAAAAAGGCATATAGCCATAACCCCTGGTATGATGGTGTGGGACTCTATTTCTTATGACAACAGGTTATCTTTAGTCATCCTCTGTACATCTTTAACAGCTCAACGATATGTTGATACCATCCTATGGTTGGTTGCATTATGCTTCATGGCATGTCATCTTGGGGCCTTTTTTCAACAACATAATGCCAGGCCACATACTGCTCGCATATCTCTGGACTGTCTCCGTGCAGTTGGTACTCTTCCTTGGCCAGCAAGGTCACCAGACCTTTCACCAAACTAGCATGTCTGGGGCGTGGTAGGCCACCAGAACACTAGAATCGGGCACCAAAAAATATCGCAGATCAGGAGCAACAACTGATGAATGCCTACAGAATGTGTCGCATGATGACAGTAGGAACCACTCCTTGTATTGACGAATTCAAGCATGCATTGCCGCCAGGGGCAGTTCGACCAACTACATTTGAACACTCAATGAGTAATTGTGAGATGTGAACAGGTGCTGTGACCTTGATTTTGTAATCATTTTATTATCTGTGTATGAGCTATACCATATTCAATTTCATCAAAAACAACCACTTCCTTCATAGTGCTTCGATTTTTTTTTTTTTTTTTTTCAAAAGAGTGTATATACACACATACATACATATTTTGTTTTATATACAGGGTGTCCCGTAAATGTATATGTAACAAAATTTTTTATATTATAATTTTTAACTATTTTTTAGTATTTTAATAAATGAAAACAGATTAATATCTCAGAGGTACACCAAACCTATTTTTGTTAAACTTTGAGAGAAACAGACGTGGTTCTGAATCCACAGCTGCTGAAATTTGTTAACATGAAAGTTTAACAGAATTTATTAGCTGGTTTTATTTGCATCAATTTCTTTATATATTTTTTTTAAATTTTGTGTTTTTTCTGCCAACAAAAGTCCATATATAGCCTTTATTTTTACAACATTACCATATCTAACTTTTTATATTGCTTCTCAGTCCCTGTAGTTAGGAAAATTTTCTATTTGTTATTAAAAATATAAAAAATTTCTATCTTCCATGTGACTAAAATTGACCAAGATTGACCAAATGCCAACATTTAGGATTTTTGAAATAATTTTTAACTTGCCTTGAAAGCTGTGTTAATAAATAAATCATAAAAATTCAAGGTTCATTTTCCCCCTCATAAATGCCATTCAGTGATATTCAGTAGTGATTTACTAGTGTTAATTTATGGTTTTAGTATAATTGGTGAACCAAAAAAATTTTTGAAGTTTTCAAGTACTAAAAAATGTATTATTAATATTTTTATGAACTTTTATTATTTTAGAATCATAATCTAATAATCATATAAAATATTCCTTGAACTAGAAATATTTTTTATTTTTAATTTATGTAAATAATGTTACGAGATGGCTATTACGATACAAGATGATTTCCAGAACATGAACTCTATAAGATTCTGTAAATAAAATAGCCCTTTAAAAAAATCAATACTTTTCATAGCAGTCTGTATAGAAATGCTTGTAACTTCGTCTGTTACACATTGGAAAACTTTTTCTAAACCAATATTTTATTTTTAGCTGCATATAAATACAAACATCACTTGTCAGTTTGTGTATTTGTACCTGAACAATATTTCAAGCATTAAAATGAAATACCTTGGTCATTTTTTGTTGCGTGGGAATCACATTATTTTTTATAATGAGTGTAAAATTTTACAAACTTTTTTAAAATAATAATAATAATAAAAAACGGCCTAAATAATTTTTTTAAATTAAAAAATGCCAAAATATAAATATGTATATTGTTCAAAATTTTTTTATAGTTGGTAAGGTTGCATAAGACCTTTTATGGGCATAGTGAATATAAAAGTCTTTCTTATCTTTTCAAAGTTTGTACTTCTGGAATATCAATTGATTATAAATATTGGCTTTCTGTGCTTCTAATTCATATTTTGTATTTCTTTACATAGAGGTCATTTTGCTCTTTGGCTAGATGATGATCTGTTTCGTGGTCGTACTAATTCATGTCAGACTTTTGCAAATGATCCCCTGTGTCCCGAAGAAGACTTTGAAATTAAAGGTCTAGAAGCTTGGGGATTTGTATGAAAACACTTTTGTACAAAAAGAAACCATGACTTAATATTGGTTATCAAATATATTCCTTTGTTATTTAATTTATTTCTCTGTAATTGTATTTTTTGTTATTCAGGAGATAAAGTTATTCCCTGAAAGTTATCATGTGTCATTATATTTTAGTCTTATTTTTCACAAATGTTTAAAGTGTAAATGAATTTAAAAGTCTCTCCAAATTCTATAATTAAAACTTGTTTGTTATAATCAAAGCAGTTTTCCTTATATTGTTGCCTCGGAGGTAAGTGATATTAGGGAACAAGTTGTATCATGTGACAGCTTATACATTATAGTGATGGAAAGAAATAAAATGTACCAAAAGAACATCAGTAAGGGCAGTGCACTGAGTTGTTAAAAGCTTATTTTGAAAAGAAAAAATACAGATGCTCTAATTAAAATTTCTCAAAGCAAGATCTCAAATAAGTGTGTAGTAGGAGGAACTGCAATATACAAACTTGTTAAAATTATGGTTATTTTTGAAGTTGCATATAGAATCGACTATGGTTTTGTCCTCTGTGATGGAGATGCATAGGTTTGAGGCAGTTTATTTGAGTTGAAGTTTTGAAAATGTAATTTTTAAAATCTACTGTTATATATTTATGTTAGATAGTAATTAGATTATGACCAGATGGCTGAAACTTAGCAGTACATAATTTTCTGTTTTCATTTATGAGAAATTAAATAGCTTTGAGGTCTTGTAGTAGGCTTATTCAAAATTTTGTCCATATGTTGCTTTTGATACGATTAACCAAAAATAAAGGGTCTTCAAATATAAAAGTGATTTCTCAGTAATCGTTTGGTACTTATACAGATAAAATACAAAAATAGCTCATTTTGACATTACCTGATTCTGATTGTCCATTCTGATGTATATATATATCCAGTTTTTTTATAGTGTGCTTTTTCACTTTAGGCCAATAATAGATTTTTACACCTTCTGTTTGCACCCATGTTAGAATTTAAAGATAAAGAGCTAATTTTAATTCCATAGGAAAAAAAATATTGTAGTGGTAGTCATACCTGTGATTATCAATCCATGGACTAGGGTAGTGGTCAGCAAAGTGCGACTACAAAAAATAAAAAAAAAAAAAAAAAAAAAGCAAAGAAAAATGGAAGATGAAAACCGCGAATTTAAAGTTGAGTGGATCGAGAATTTTGCGTTTATTCAAAACTTGAATGGACTTCCGACATGTCTTATTTGTAAGGAGAAATTTGCGCATAAACAAGAAGTCAAATTTAGAGAGACACTTTACAAGACAGCATGCGTCATTTAGCACTAAATATCGTACCAGTGATGCAAGGAAGAAAGCAGTTGAGGAACTTCAGAAGAGTCAAGAATCGTCAACTTCTGTGTTTAATAACTGGATGCAATCTTCCAGCAATATTAAAATGGCAAGTTTTGTTTGTAGCCAAGAGATTGCTAAGAGAGGAAAAACGTACACATACGGCGAATACATAAAAAATTGTTTTATAAATGCATCCGAAGAGCTATTTCGGGATTTTAAGAACAAAGTAGATATTTTGAAAAGAATTAAAAGAGTTACCATTGTCTACCAAAATCATTAAAGATAGAACAATTAAAATGTGTTCGAATATAACCACTCAGCATATCGAAGATCTGAAATTGGTTTCGGCTTTATCAATAGCAGTTGACGAGTCTTGTGGCATAAATGATACAGCGCAAGTTTCACTTTTTGTAAGATTTATGTCTCATTCAGGCCCTAAAAAAGAACTTTTAGGATTATTGCCACTCAAAGGTCAGACGCGTAGAGAAGATATCTCCGATGCTGTAATTGAGTGTATGGATAAACATCGTATTCCCCTCGATAAAATTGTGTCGATTTCAACAGATGGAGTCAAAAGTATGACTGGCGTAAGAAAAGGGGTTGTTGCTATTTCGGAAGAAAAAATTAATCACGAGACCATTACTTGTGTACCATTGTATCGTTCACCAAAAAGCGCTTTGTGCGCAAACATCTCCGGAAGAAATTTGTAAAGTTATGGAATTATTGATTATCAACTCCATTTTAGCTAAAGCTCTTAATCATCGCCAATTCAAAGAATTTTTATTTGAAATGGAGAGTAAGTACGCTGATCTTCTGCTTCATAACAAGGTACATTGGTTATCAAGAGAGAACGTTTTAAAACGTTTCGCGTCTCTTTTCCCGGAAATTAAAGCATTTCTCCTTGAGAAGGGCATTCACTATCCAGAAATAACAGACGATCAGTGGATCCAAAACTTTTATTTCATGGTAGACATTACGTCTCATCTAAATCAGCTTAATCGTAAACTACAAGGGAAAGGAAACTTAATTTTTTTGATGTTAGAAGCAGTAATAACATTTGAAAACAAATTATCCATTTTGTGCACAGGATTTTGAAAGGGAAACATTGTTTCACTTTCCGAGCCTGCTGAAGCATCGTCAAAAAAATAATTCCTTTGTTGATCACCATTTTAAAACAATAATTTTAAATATGAGGGAAGCATTTCTCAGCAGGTTTCAGGAATTTAAAAACAGCAGAGCACGATAACCTTTAAATTCTAAAATTTTCTCCTTTTGAAATTGACATTGGTATAGCTTTGAAATACAATTGCTGGATTTAAAAAACAAGGAGATATGGTGCTCTAAATTCGAATGTCTTTGTGTTGAATTGGAAATATTGGAGAAGAAAAAATATGATCTTAGTTCACAACACAAGTGGTCTGCTGTGAGTGACCTGGAGAAGGAAGACATGATCATTTTCAACGCTTGGAACAGTATTCGTGACTTACGATCAGCTGAAAAAGCTCGCGTTTGCTGTTGTTTCCCTTTTCTGTTCTATATCTATATGCGAACAATCGTTTTCAAGCATGAACATTATCAAGAGTAAACTGAGAAGTCGTCTTATTGATGAGAACTTGGTATCATGCCTAAAATTAAAAACAACAACATATGACTTACTTAAACTTTCTAAGGAGATGCAAGCACATTGTTCAGATTAATCAATATTTATTAAGTATTAAATTTAGTTTTATTTAGTCTAATAAAAGTTTACTAAGCAAGCAGATTTGGCTCCAATTTTTTTTTTTTTTTAAATTGTTGTAATGTTCATATTTGGCTCTTTGGCTAATAAGTTTGCCGACTACTGGACTAGGGTACACTGGCACTCTGTGAAGCCACATCAAGTGTTCTGCAAAAAAATTAATTACAGAATTAAGAATTGAAGGAAAAGGAAAAATCAGTAGAATCTAAAATAATCTTTACATTGTAAAATTGCCAAATATTAAAAGCTAAAGTCAAATTTTCAAACAACGTTTTAACCTATGGAAGCAGATTATGAGTGTTTATTTGTTCATACAGAAATGAGGTATCTGTCATGTTTTAAAGTTTTAAATCATGTAGTGCAATTAAAAAATTGATTGTTTATTTTCTTGAAAACGGGTTAACACAAAACTTTTGAAAAATATCTAAAATGATAATTAGTGCAATAATTTGATGTATTGTAACTGACATTCTTGCTTATTTTAATATTTAATATTATATTTTTGCTTATATTAATATAAGTACGGAAGGAAGTAATGAAAACATTCTTACGCTAAATGACAATTAAAAAAAAAATGACATAGAAGATAAGCATGAAGGAAAGAAACAAAAATGTTCTCTTTCTTTGCAGGATACAAAGGAGGTAATCATTTCTTTAACAATCAAACTTTTAACAACAATAGAAGAAAATTTTGAAACATATTTTCCCTTGTTAAATGCTGCACATCCATTTGTTTCATATAGCTTCTCCAGTTTTACTCTGAATATTAAGAACTGACATCAGTTTTTTCAAATTGTGGATTAAAGCCGGAGTTCCTTGAAAATCTGAAAAATTACATATCTGTTAAAGATGAATACTCAGATCATAGAGAAAAAAGCACTAAATACATTATTATTAGACTAGAAGAGAAACACGCTAATGTGACAATCAAAATCGTAAAAAAAAAAAAAAAAAAAAAAAAAAAAAAGAAAGAAAGAAAAAAAACAGCATTTTCGAGGTAATTCTATTTTTTATCGGTTTACCACGTGCACGATTTTGACTTTCGTTGCTTCTTTCCACGTGGCTATTGGTTTTCAGTATTGGATGTTTCTCTCCTTTTGGAATGTTTTTGTCATATGTTGATGAAAATTGTCTTCATTATTTATTGGTGTTTTTTTCATGTTATAAGTAATTACTTGTTTGGACTTTCGGAATTACATTTCTTTTGTTCACTTGTTTCTTGCTTGTGCCCTTTTCACAATATGTCCACTGACAGGAACCGATTTTGTAAGTTACGCCTTAAGCGTACGAAATTCTTGAATCATCTACAGTTTCTACTTAAATGCAAACATCATAATTTCATTTCCAAATTTATACATGTGAAATGTAGCCTTAAAGCTTCCGTTCACGCTTAAAAAATTTTGCATAAATTCAAATTGGCACTTCGTCACATTATAAGGGACATACTCAAACGTTTATCTAAAATTGAATTTGAATTATATTACCTCCATTTAAAAATTGCTAATTCCACTAAAAATTTTTTTTTCCTTTGAACATACATCCTGGTCTAGAACCGATACCGTTTGTCAATGGCATAAAAATGTGCTCATTTCTAAATTCCTAAAACTCGCACACCAGTCGGATAGTCCCAACTATCTAGCTGATCTTCCCACTGTAAACGTTAACCTCATCGTTAATATCTCCAACAGGAATCTTTCGGAGGATCAGTTAAAAGTATTAAAGTATAATTTCAACTTTTCAAAGACATCTAAACCTTCAATTATTCAAATCATCGCCCCTATAGAGAAAGCCTTTAAATTCTCCAAAATTTCAGAAAGGCAGAAGGATACAATCCGCCACTTAACTAATCCGCCACTCATAACGTTAATTTTAACAATAAATCTTTGGGTTCGAATCTTAGCAAAAAGGAAAATGAGATCTTACGTGAAATTCATTCTGATACTAATATCATTATCTCTAAAGCTGATAAGGGCGGACAGATCGTTGTTATGGACAAACACACATATATTACTGGAGTCTCTAAATTGATAAATGAAGGCCCATACTGCTCGATCCCTAAAGATCCTTCAACTTCAGACCTC